CATTCAGTGAGTGCTCTGCTTGGTGGGGCTTGGTTTGGAATCTGAAGTGATCCCTTCATGAAAGGGAGTGGTGGAGTTCCTTCAAATCTCAAAGGCTGAGCTGTCTTATAGCCATCCTACTGTTTCTATTAGCTGCCTGGCAAACTGTAACTCCACAGAAGTGACAGTACCCTGTTCATTTTTATGTGTCACGTAGTCAGACTTCAGGACTGTTGCCAGGGGATTTGACTGTATGGGAAGTATTTTCCCTCCCTTCCTGAAGCCTGTGCAGAACCAGAGGATGGGTCTCCTGCTGTTAATAACCTGCACTGAAGTATGAGTTGCCCTGAAACTTCTCTTCTGTTTCATATGCAGAAAATAGCATAGTGCCTGGAATGGAGTAGCACTGTCCCTTGCAACTTGTCGTGATACTATAGAAATCGTACCTTCAGCATGGTGCCCACAAACTTCTGTGCTGCAGAGCCTCCCTCCTGCTTGCCCTGTATGTTGGCTGGTGCTGCAAACCCTGGAACAAGCTGTTGGGTCTGTAGGAGCAGAATGTAATTGAGGGCTGTTGTAGAAGTCTTTGGGCCTCTCTGGGTCTTACTTTTGTCACTATGGGATTGGCATGAAGGAACTGGGAGCCCTTGTTCTCTTGGTAAGTCAAAGATGTGCAGATGGTACTGAGCTGGTTAGAACACTTCCCAAAGAGTAACAGCAGGCTGTATTGCTGGACTCAGATCTCCAAAACAAGCAAAAATACTGAATAGGCTGTTGCATGGTGGCATTTGTTGGTTGCTTACCATCTCCTCAGCTGTGTTTGTGTGACTGCTGCCACAGCCCAAAGCTGCTCTCTTCATTCCAGTGTGGCCCTGGCGCAAGAGGAAAGTGACCACTGCTTCCTTATTATGGAGCAGGACGTTGTTGGCTGTGCAGCTTGAATCCTAAAGCACTGTCCTAAAAAATGCTTTCGTCTGGCCTTAAAGCTTCATGTGGGCATAAGAAATTTTTTGTGGTAGTGTGCCTATGTACAGAGAGGAGAGTATACTGGAGAGAATATGAGACTGCTTGAAGTGTTCTTGAGTTCTTTACTGATAAAGTTCAGAAAGAGTGGAGAGAGGGAGCAGGGCCCAAGGACAGGAAGGCAGTAGGCTCTGAGTTATTTTTCATCTTTCTGTATGGGCTCAAGAGGCACGTGAATGTCTCCTACTTTTTTGTTTTAGATCCCTTTTGCATAGGGTGAGCATTGATGGGTGCTCCCATAACTCGAATTAATGTTCTGTTGTCTCTTATTTTGCTTCCATTCAAATAATTGTGTCAAGAGATAATCCTTGCATAGCATGAAGGTTTTCCTTTCCTCCTCAGAGATTGCTGTTGGGAGACTTTTTTTTCTCTCTTGAGAACTGCAGGTTCTGCCTGCTGAGCCCAGCTGCCATGAGAGCCACTGCCACAGCAAAAGATCTTTTCTCCAGGTGTCTCTGGTGTAGGAGGTGGTGTCTGTAAAGCCAAATTCTGTTTGTTACAGCTGATGTTCGTGACTCAGTGCTGCATTGAGAAGAGGGATGAGTAGAGCTCCTATGCCAGAAGGGCACAGCTTCATGAGAACCTGGAGGATGCAGCGTGCCTCTGTGCTGAGGTTCTGTTGCAGCAAGGGAGGGGAAGTGGCATTTAAAACAAACAAAACCCCTCAATGTTAAGCTTAGCTTTCAGTTGGTGTCAACTTTATCTTCCATTGTCCAGTTAACCCTGTGTTTTGTGTTTCCATTTGGCTGGAACAACTGGTGAGGTTTAGCACTGCTCACAGAGGTCTCTGAGGTGATTATCTTTGCTTGGCAGCTGCTGCAGGTGCTGAGAGACAGCATTAGGCAGCACATGGCAGTGATCTTCTTGGAGGTACAAAAGAGGAGCTCCACACTGAAGGGAGGCTGACCAAATTGGCACTGATGTGCTTTTCTCCAGGATGGCAACAAGAATGGTTCTGAGGACTGGAGTGCTTGCATATTCCCTCCTGTAAGCAGAAGGAGCCTTGCCAGCAAAGTGGTGTGCAGCACATGGATGTAACACACAGCAATGCTCATTTTCCAAATCCTCTTTCTGCACCCTATTCCTCCTGGAAGGGATGAGTTATGTGAGATGGAATCCATTCTTTGCAGAGTTGTTACCTCAGCATCTGTTACAAGGCTGGTTCCACGCAGATGGGTGAAAATACAGCACTATTGTGAGGGTTTTGGAGTGTTGTGTAATTAAACTTTTTTTTTTCCCCTCCCTGAACGTCTTTCTAAATTTGGTAGCAGGCTAGGAGCTGGGGTAGAGCACAGGGGAGGATTTCTGTGTTTCCTCTTGCAGCCTTTTTAAGCTGTGGAAGGAGGATGACTAAGTGTGGGTACACCCAGATGTTTCCCTTTGGACACACCTAAAGACAGGCTTTCCAAGAAGAGGATCATGCCACCTTCTATTGTGGGTGGAGAGAGAATGTAAAGGGAGACAGGATTGCTGGGCCTCAGCATCGCTAACCTCACCACACTCAGTACCTCAGTGGGGGACCTGAACAAATGCTGTCCTGAGGTGATTTCTGCTGTGTTGCTAAATGAAGTTTCTTTATTTCTTTGTCCTCCGTCAGCAGATGTGTGTTATTTGTAGACAGTAGAGCCTGTTGCCTGTTTTTACACTCAATTAAATTGTAACTTCACTTCTTGGGCCTATGCTGAAAGAACTGCAAGTCAGGCACTGATCCAGACTGATTAATTATCAGCTTGATGTCTTTGGCAGAGGCCTTTAGTGTTGTTGTTGAGTGCAGGCAGGGCACTGCTGGAGCACTGTGACGAGAGAAGTCAGGGTGTCATTTCTGTGCAGGTCCATAGGCAAGTGGCAGGGCTGGCCTTGGCTGCAGGGCTGGCAAATGGCAGTACATTGTCTGCAGCACTTCTTGGACATAAGCCTCTGCAGAAATAGAACAAACTGTGATGTTGTTCTTGTTACTGGTATGGAAATGAGTTGGGCCTTTTGATGCTTTTTAGAGAGACTAGTAGCCTGCGAAGTTTGCCTCATGGTGTTTTGTTTTTTTCCCTGCTTGTTCTCCTAATGAACAAATTGTAAGTACCATGAAGGATAAAAAAAAGGGAAGAAATAGTTTTTGCTGCTGAATCAGCTTAAGAGAAGTCTATCAGCCCATTTGAGAAAACAGAGATCTCTTTCCTTGCTTGTTTCCTTCATTAGCCACTGTAAGCTACTGGCTGAAGGCTTGTGCCAAGCATGACTTTGTTTCTAGGGCCCTTCCTGAATAAATGTTTAGTTTTTGTGGTAAAATTCCTACAGATCTGTCTGGTGAGTCTTGAAATGCTGAAGTTGCAAATATGGAAGTTGTCGCATCCCTGCTATAGGCATCTGTGAGCTGAAAGTGCTGGAGCTGCAGCGGGTGTGTGCACAGCTGGGTGCTGGCGGCTCAGTTCATGTGGTCTCTGTGCCTACAAATGGTTCTTCATGATGGAAGTAAAGCTGGAAGGAGGTGGGCTCTAGCACTGGGCTCATGGGTACCAGCAGCTAGCAAACTGTGGGAGCTGACAGTCCCTGCAAAATACCTCTACAAAATAAGCCCTCTGCAGTGTGTTTGGTGTTGAAGTTGAGTACTTGGTGTCGGTTATTCCATTCTGCACTGCTGCTGCGATACATTCTGCAGTTCGTTAATGTAGCCACAGAGAAAACCATGCTTCCGGTTCTCACTTGTGGGCATTTTTCCAAATCAAAGGAAGGCGATTTTGGTTCCCACCAGAAACAATGGGTATTGAAGACAAATTTGGTGAGGCTCATGTTGTGCATAATCAGCAAAGAATGTTCCCCAATAAGACTGGGATGGGCAAAGGGTGCTGTTGCCAGCAGACGGTTGGGGAGTTACCTCCTCTCTTATGATTCTTGTTGGGCAGTGCCTTCTTATCTCCTCACCCTTTGCTGTGAGATGAATCCACTGCAGTCACTGTTGCTGGGGAAGTTGACCAAAGCATCTCCCTTTCCTGCCTGGGTCCTTATTTAACCCCATCACTGTACACGCTGGTGACTAGAAATCAATGACTTGCTTTATGATGTGTTTGCACAGTCTTTAAATAAAGCACAGAGGAAGAATAACCAAGCTATGCAGTGTGTGCTAGTTGTTAGCTAATAACTTAGAAGATACTAGTAATAACTTCTGGATTTAGCATATGTAAGCTGTATTGCCTATTCATTTTCTAAAAAGGTAATAATAGGCTTTCCTGAGCCCTGCTGGCACTGTGCGTATTAATGGGTTAGAGGTGCTGCTGAGCTGTAGTGTCTACAGCCTGCTCAGCAAGGAGCCTCTATGAAAAGTACAGCTGTGGTATGAGGAACTGTATGCAGGCTGCAAACACTGACTTGGAAACTTGCTGTGAGCTGGGACGCTGCCCTGTGCTGAGCTGATGGTGCTGAGCTGCAGGCTGTGCTGTGCTCTTGCTCACAGCCCTGTATCACACTGCGTGCTTGGGGCTGGCCTCACAGGAAGCTGAAAGGCACGGTGTCCCTCAGAAACCTTCGCCATCTGCTCTTCCTGTTAAGCACCTTTCCTGCATGGGGATTGAAACGCAGGTCCCCAGCATGCATTGCTCTTATCTTTTTGTTCCAGACGAGGCTGCTCATGTGGGCATAGCTGCTATAGAGGTCTGTGTTAAATGTGGAAATGATTAAGGCTCTAAGATAATAGCGTGCCAGCATCTGCATTGTGTTTGGGTGTTAATCCCCACAGCCAGAGAGGAAGGTTAAGACCCAAAGCACAGTACAGGAGATCTGGTTTGTTAACAGGTGTATGCTCAGGAAGGAATAATGTGCTTCAACTGGGGAGAAGTACTCGATGCTTAGAAAGGAAGTGATCCTTCAGTAATCAATATGTAACAAAATTCCTCCAGTATCTGTTACTTAAAGAACGTTTCACCTGTTTGAAATGAAACTGAGCTGTTGTAAGGCATGTGAAATATTTTGATGCATAAATCCTTTCTTTCCATTTTCTCTTTCCCCAGGAGGTGGCAAATTCTGTCTACTTGGTTATGGAGGTGAGTGTATTTTTTTTTTTTTAATTTAACATGAGTTAAGCAGATGAGTTTATTACACATATAGGGCTTTCTGCTTAGCATCACATGTGATGCTTTGCTTATCTAATCTTCAGCTGCATACCTCTTAGAACTGGAGCAGTGTGGGGGAAGATAGCAGTCAGTGGGACATTTCATATTGCTGTTGTCAGAAGGTCATGCTGGTACAGCTTTAATCAGTTGGATGCCTTATTTCAAGGGCCAAGTAGGTGTTACTGAGTAGTAAGCACTTCAAAGATGCATGGAAAGAAAACTCTATCCACACAAAACAGCTGCAAAGCTTTTGCTAGTTTGTTTCCCTCTGCAATCTTCACTCCGAGGTCATGCTGACTTTCCATAATAATACGAAGCATGTTGTGGAGAATTTCAGTTTTCAGCTATGGCTGCTCCTGAATTTTCCTTAGCCAGCTTGCTGGTGCTCTTTCAAGTGATGACCTGTCTGCTCTATTTTGGTTTTGTCTTTCTGTGCATGTACACAGATGTATACACAAGCACACCAAAGCTAATTAATGCTGGTTTATCATTATGCAATGTAGTGTGTAAGGGAAATGTGACACAAAGGGAACCTATTGGAAAAGCTTTCTTCTACCACTTAATGAATACTTATTTTAATGTATATATGATTATTTATCACCTGTGATCCTAGTGAAGTCTCCTGAACTTGAAACCTTTTGATTTTCTTCATGTTAACTGAGCTTTCTGTTCTCCTTCCAGTACTGCAATGGTGGTGACCTGGCAGACTACCTTCACAGTGAGTAAAACAGCATGGAGCATGTCTGGTGTACTCAGAAGGAAATGCTGACTGAGAATCCATGGCAGTAAAAGCTAGTGTTGTAGTCTTTCCTATGTAGGTCAGTAGTGACTGAAGGATGTGGACTTCTCAGTCAGCAGATACCTGATTTAGTTGCAGCAGCCTTAAAGATCAGTCATGTTTTGACACTGCTGGGGACGTGGTTGGCCTCTTTCTTGATCACTGCAAAAAAGCAGTTCGTACTGAGGTCTTGCATTTCTGTAGAGTTGGATTAAAACAGGATCCCAAGAGTATATTCAGTTTTTTTCAATATCTTCCTTAGCCACACCTAGGACAGAGCACTTTCCTTATTTCACAGTATGCTGAAGGTAGTGTAGCTGGTAGTGTTGTGGGGGTGATGAAATCTTCAAGCTTCAGGATCTCTGAGGTAGTATAGCATGGATATCTGTTACTGCTGTCTCAAAGACCCTTTTGGTGAAACTGAAGTGTATCTTTGCCATTAAATTGAACAAAGTGTGCTTTCCATGTTATTCAGTTGTGCTGCAGGGACTTGCAAGGCTCAAGTTTTTTTTCAGTGCAGCCCTCTGCAGAGATACTGCATGCTGGTGTATATGAAAATTAGGTTGTACCTCAGTACAGGTGCAGGTAGGTGTAGTACAGTGTAGGGTGACCTCATGAATTCTTTGAACAGTAGGAGAATAACACATTTAACAAGTTGCTTACACTTCTGCTGGTCTATGGCTCTGCTTTTCTTATTTTAAATTAGCTTTCTTGTTTTTGCATGCTAACTAAAAGATTACTAAATAGGAGGAAATAACTTTAATCTCATTTCTTGTGTGGCTCTGGGTTATAGTTAAACAAAGTTTTGTTCATTGTTAAAATTTAAAGCTATTCAGCTGGATAATCCTTCAGGCTGCTTATTTGAGGTACACGATGCTGGGAAATGGCAGAAATTGAAGGATTAAAAGCTAAATTTACATTTGTCCTACAGCTAGTGTTGATACCCTTACAGTGATTATTTCAGGCTTGATGCTGGTATGTTGCACGCTCTGTTCATGCAGATGTGTTTGTCTGCGGATTGCAAATTTTCAGAAAGTATTAGTACTTAAGGTAAATGAAGAAACGTTCTGCTTTTCTTGTGTTTTCTTAGTTTAAGATGTGGATAAGATAGAAGTGATTTTTTTTTTTTTTTTTTTTGAAATCTGGGTTTAGTGTGCTTTTTTTACATAGATGATGGTGTTTTGCATCTGTTGGCTGTTGCTGTGCTTTAAAAGCAACGTCTTTGGGATATTGTTATGAATACCAAGTGGAAATGGCTTTGTATTTGATACCTTCTTATTTAACACAAGAAGTAAATGTTAATGATGCAGTGCTTTTCAAAGTAGTCAAACTTCAGTGTTGCCCATGTTCTGGTAAAGTTTTAGCTTTTGGTCACATGAAATGAACCTTGTTGATGTTAAAGCACTGAGTTGTGCATGCTTGTTGACAAAGCTGTGTACAAGTTAGAACACAGCTTCTAGCTGAACGGTTTCTGAAAACATGGGTTTATAGAAAAACTTCCTTCTCATACTGCTGCTTTTATGTGTGCTGTATTTTTTCTTCCTCCACCCAAAAAAGTGAAGCATTCTGTACGACCAGCTAGGCTATTAGCAAAGCTCACTTCCTCATTTATCAAATGAGAGTGCTCAGGAAAATGGTGGCTAGTCTGAGAAAGTGACAATGAATTATATTTGCAAAGTAAAACTGAGTTTTATTCCAATTTGCCTGGGATAAGGTTGGTCCTTCTATGCCCGAGTTAGTTGGAAAAAGTAACCACTAGCTCTGGGTTGTTCTTGTGCTTTGTTGTGTTTTTTTTTTTTACTTCTGAAGTATTTTATCCCAACAGCTGTGGTTGTCACTGGGAAACTGGAGGCTGTTTAGTTTTATGCTAACTCCTCAACATCTGTATGCCAGTTGCCAGTAAAGAAGAAAGCTGAGCAGGCAGAGATATCCAGAAGGAGGTGGACAGTAAAAGTCAGCAGAAACAGAGAGAGTTACTCTCATCACTAAAACAGAAATCTGGGTTTTTCAAATACTAAGGCCTGGATGCTCATCTCAGCTCTTCCATTGTGTGGCTTTCTCCATTCCAGCACTTGGAGAGGAGTTATTCCAAAGATGTGCATTTTTGCAGGCACTCAGGGTGATTTTTGATGATAATTTTCTCCTGAAAGGAAGTTCATCTTGGAAAATTCATATTTATTCCAGAGTATTTCACTGGATGAGCACAGGAGCTCATCTTTACTGAGCACTTATTGTGCTGCTTCAGTTATTTTGATAATTGCATGATTGTATTTCAATGCAGCATCTACTTTCCCATTGACTCCTCAGACGTTTTTGCTCATAGCTCCTGCAGCACTTACGCAAGCAGCACATGCAAATCCCCTGGTTCTCATTGAATGAGATGCTTGTAAGCTTCCCAATCCATTCTGCCCTCTAATTACAAGCATTAGGCAATATGGTAATTCTGTGTTGAATCAAAAGGCACTCTAATTCTCCTTGTCTTTATAACTGGACGACGTGCATATGTGCACGTTTTAATGCAGCGCGCACTTGTGTTGGATTAAACTGTCAGCCTCACCTGCTAAGATTGTACGTGTCCTACTGAGCAGAGCTTCTGTGTTGTTTAATGATTTCTCTTCTGATAGATCTTGTTCAAATGAGATCTTTCACTTAAAGCCATCACAGCTTTAAAAGAAAGGTATGTTGTGAGCTTGCAATGGTGGATCTGCAATGTATGGTAGAACTGAGAGGCATTTCAGAAGTTGCTGGTTTTGCTGTGTGAGTTCTGTGGTTATAACAGGAGATCAGAGCCAGTTGGTCTAAAATTTCTTTAAATTCTGTGAGTTGGTGTTGACAAGGACAGGCTGCTGTAGATAGTTCATAAACATGTATTCCTGACTCTTCTAAAAAGCTGCTTCTTGGAGTTCACATCTCTGGAGAGACCTTTGCATCTGAACAGGACACTTCTTGATTTGACCATGAAACATGCAAGGAGCTGTCATCTTCTAGTCTGGAGTAGCTGTGGGCAGTGCTTTGTAAGTGAGGTGTGAGGTCGTCTGTGCTGCCCCTTGCAGGTGGGCAATTAAGAATATCCATGGTGAGACTCAGTCTGCCTCATGGTAGTGCTGTGGCTCGTGCAGGAGGATCCCTCTCAGGAGTCACACTGGCCACGTGCTGGGTGAGCACAGCTGGAGGAGTTGTGGGATGGACCCCCAATAAATCTGCCTGGCCTCTGGGGAGTAAGTGTGACTGCATCAGGCCTCTGTCTGAGATACCTGTGGACCTGTAAGAGAAGTTATTTTTCCTAAATAACTTTTCCAAAATGGAAAATGTCGCATAACCATCAAGTATGCTCTGATGTTACCCCTGGATCAGCTGCCAAGGCCTGTGTGCTACAGCTTGCCTAGCAGTCCCTTGCCAGGTGGAACACGCTGCATGTCTGCACAGAGCTGCCCACAAACCACCTTTTTAGGTGGTTCCATCCTTCTCCTGCGCCTTGGGAGCTACCAGGCATGCAGGCCTTGTGCTGACCCGCAGTCGATGTTTGTTCTGATCTACTGACCTGCGAAGCAGCTGTTCCCAGGCAGTAAGCAGAGTGCCTCGTCACTGAAGTGGAGCCCATGAAAATAAACATGGGGATATTATTACTTCTCAGGAGCAGCAAAGTGAGGTTTGTGAAATACTTCTCTGCAAGAATGTGTTGCTGACCACAGGCCTCCATGGAGAAGCTCAGACTGCAGTGCAAGCTCAGTATTTTTCCAGCAGTTTGCTGGTGAGGATGAGAAATAAATTGCCCTCCTTTTTTTTTTTTTTAATTCTTCTTTTTACAGGGGCAGAAGTGCAAGTTTCCCTGTTTGAGGTGCAGTAGACAGTGGGTTGTTTTGTTCTCCATATCTGACTTGAATGAGTGTCCTATATATTCTCCCTGTGCTAATGGGAGTTGTCTACAGACCAATTTGCAGACCAATGTGTAAATGTTTCTGGCTGTCAAAAATTTTCTGGCTAATGCTGCTTCTCCTTGTTGCTGTAGAACAAGGTGACCTGATGTGAAATTAAATCTGCTAGTCTGAAGAAAATGGGAATGATGTCTGTAGGAAGAATGTGTCAAAATGAGTTATTGCCAGTACTCTGAAAAATCCAGATGCTGCAAAGTGTGAAGGGACCATGAGTCTGACCCTTCAAGCTTCCACTGTGGTGTTTTGAATCCCCGAGTTTGAAGGAATACCACTTGTACCTTTTCGCTGAACTCTCCAGAGTCTTCTGTCTGTGACAGTGACAGTTGCATTTATTTCTCTGTCCTTCAGTTGGAAATTGCTGCTGTCATTTTGTAGACTGATGGGCTGAGTATGAGATAAGGACCTTTGTTTTTCTGTGCTGTGATGTCTGCTGATGGAGTGAGGTAAAGGGTATGCCCCTGTGTCCTGATGTAGCTTACTTTGTTGCTGAGGGCAGCTTCTTAATTTCTCAGCACTGCAAAAGTCTTGAGACTTCATGCTACCAAGAATCTAGCAGATCTGTGCCCAGTTTTGCTGTGCTGCAGCATGGTGCCCTCTTTGTGCCACAGCAGGTGAACTGGAGGACTCTGCAGGCTCAGGACAAGAGCTTAAATGCCTCGTGTATCGAGAGCACAACAGTTTTGTAAGGTTAAGAGCTTCAAACAGAACTTCTCTTTTGGAGAGACTGGTAACTTAAGGCCTTATTTTATTCAGATGAATATTTTTTCCTGATCCTGGCTGAGGGATGATGGCTAGAGTTGTGTTAGTCTCACAGTCACCACATTATGTAAAAGGGAGGTGATGCCTGGAGGGATGCAGCGTGCTGCTGGAGCTGCAGGTCAGGACAAAGCTCTAAACAAAGCAGCTTCTCTGCTAGAGGCAAAGCGTACTTAGCCAGGAGTTCATAATTGCCTGCTTAATGTTAAGGACTGCCAAGTTCCACGTTTTGCTTCTTGTCTGGGAGAAAATGAGACAACCTGTCCTTTCGTAGGCCTGAGCTGAGCTGGGCAGAAGTCTCTGGAACTCCTGCTGTTCTGTGGAAGGGTGGTGATTTAACTGTTTCTGAATAGGTTTCCCTGTTGCAGTTGTTAAAGGGCAGGCAATGCTTTTCCCAGAAGATGCAAGTAGGTTTGGTAGACGTGTGTCTAAGCTGCCTCTTGATATCTTTAAAATCTCCTCAGAGAACCTCTCCTTATTGCAGAAGAGTTCTTTTTGGATTCCAGCTGAGTGCCAGTTCATGAGGGAAGAAGGCCCAGTGAGGGGAGAGAAACTCTATATACACGTGCTCTCCTGTCACATGTATGAGTCCAGGGCTGGCTGATAGCTATAGTGACATTTCAGCTCTGCTTGTGCCTCTTTCCAGAACAGCGAGCTTTGGGAGTGGTGGGAGTCTTTCTGTTCTAAACACTGTTTAACTTATCTGTGTCCCTTGCTGTTTTCCCATGTGCATATTTCAAAAGTTAGATTTTTAATTTCCTGTGTTGTGTTAAAGCTGCTTGCAACCTTATGTGTGTTTTCATAAGGATTCCTCCCTTCTAGCAGATGAAGTAGAGCAGCATTTTGAAGTTCCTGCCAGTTTGTTTTAAAGTCTTACTGGAGAGCAGCTGGAAAAACACTAATGAAGTCCCAAGTTATTTTCAGGGACCTTCTACAAAAGAAATTACTCTAAGTGGAATGGTGCTTTCTTTAAGCCTGACTTGCTTGGTGACTGATAAGGAAGCAGGCTGGTAGCACTGCTGGCCCTGTGGTTTGTTCAGCAGGCTGTTCCTGGCTTTGGCAAGAGTTTCATACCTGTGACTCTTAGAATAACAAGAGCTTAAGTCACTTCAGTTTGATCAGAAGGTCCAGCTGAGTTTTTTAATTTCTTTAATGTTTCTCAGTTCTCACACCATGTTTTTTAGGAAGCCTGCAGCTTGGGAGAGTGAAGTTCAGTTCTTCCATATTTACAGAATTTGATTATTTTTTAGATATGTTTACAAATTGGCAGGGGCCAATTGCTAGGGGTACTTTCATTAGAATTAAGGATATTACAAATACACTGGATTTGCATTGGAATTATGGTTTGTTCTAGTAGGTAGTGATGCAGGAGGGTTAGGCCTAGGCTTGGATTTGTATCCCAACGCTACTGATACCTGGTGGCCTTAATTCTTCCTACAGGCACAAATTCCAATCCTGCCTGTGTTTCCAGGTTTAAACAAAACTCTCCTCGAAGCTGTAACCTTAGGTGTCTGGTTGCTGTTGACCATAGCTCAAAGGCCTTCTAGTCATCAGGCTGCAGGCTCTGCCTGGTTGGAAGCTTCAAGTTAGCTGGCAGCTCTTGCTGAGGGAAGCCCTAAACCTCATCAAATGTCATTTTTGGGCCCAGCTCATGAGCCAGATTCAGCATCGTTTGCTGACCTGAGTTCACCGTAACCGTTAGACTCTCAAGGCTGAAAACAGCCTTGGCCACTGGATAAACTAGGAATGCAAAAAGTCTCTTTTAATGTCTGCTTTAATAATTTAGAAATAGCGTGTGGAGGAAAAAAAAGCCTTATGTGGAAGAAAAGAATGCCAAATTGTGGTTAATAGCTATAGAGTATCAATCCTCTGGGCCCTTCGGAGAACTACCATTGTAATTCTTTCATCTGTGGTTATTTTTTCCTTCTCTGTAGCTATGCGGACACTTAGTGAAGACACCATCAGGCTCTTTCTCCAGCAGATAGCAGGTGCAATGAAAATGCTGCACAGCAAAGGCATCATCCATCGGGATCTGAAACCACAGAATATCCTCCTCTCCTACGCTGGAGGCAGGAAATCAAATCCCAACAACATTCGCATAAAGATTGGTAAGACCCTGTTACAAGTGTCACCCGAGCACCTCTCAAGGGAGTTTGGTTGCAGATATGTGGCAAGCCTCAATTTCTTTTGGGAAATGTCTAGGAGGAAAAAAGGAATTTCTACGCTTTTTAATATGTTCTAATGTTTTATTACTTCCTCACTTAGTTTCTCTGCCAGAAATAGCCAAGCTCAGGTAACTTCAGGAAGCCTCCAGTCAGCAGAGCTTTCTGCTCTGTCAGGACACAGATTAATGCAAAATAAATTGAGTGAGTCTTGCTCTGTTTCCAAGCTGAACAGTACCTCCCTTTGTAAAAACAGATACCAACCTGCCCTAATAGGTTTGTAATCTCCAGGCTTACCAAGAAAAGAGCAGCTGCAGTGATTTATGTATGTCTTTTATGAGAGCTGAGAGTAAATGCTGGTGTCTCTAAGGCCTAAAACTCACTGCTCTTCTGGCTGGTTTCACAGCACAAAGGAAGTCAGGCACATCTCAAAGTCTGAATTAGAGCCAGGTTTCTCAGCTATGTCTTCAAGAAATTCTCTTTCTGCATATTTGTTAAGGAAGATGGCAAGTAGCATAGCTGGTCCTGTAGCAGGGACAAATGCTCCAGAAACTCCACTTATCCTTTGTAGGCCTCAGAAACAAGTGCTGGCTAATATCACCCACAGATATGTGGAAATCTGTCAGGTCATAGTATTGTTCACAGACTGAAGCTAACACTGATTAAATACAACTGTTTCTTGCCTGAATCCTGCAGTGTGCAGCAAGGGCTCTCATTTAGTTGAGAAATAGTGTTCAGTGGAAAAGTTTTTTAAAATCTGCTGCCAATTTGGCTATGGCTGATTGATTTTGTGAAGTGCAGAATTATCTGGGAGATGGAAGTGACTGGGAATTGTAGACACAGGAGGGCTGCATTGCTGCTCTTCAGCCTTCTTCCTACTTCCCCGAGAAACAAGTGGTCCAGGGAATAGCTAGCCATTCCAGTTAGTGACAGGTGACAGTGTAAACAGCTGTGTCAGATATCTCCTGGCTTGAAATATCTAGTAACCTTGAGAGAACCTCTTAATATCATATGATCAGATGCTGAGTAACCTGTAGATGTAATTCATATTGGTATTCCTAGCCCCTGGCTTTTCCATCTGTCAGGTGAACTAATGGTTCAGCTTTCTCCCCTCTGAAGGAACAGACTAAGACTGTTTTTCAGTAGAACAGTTCAAGAAATGTTGATGGTGGCAAGCAGTGGTTTCTGTTGGATGCTTGTTATACTTTTCAATGGAGGGTAATTTTCAGTTCTGCAAATTGAAAGCTGAGACAGCAGCAGGTGAATTGGCTAGTGTGAACTGGCACACCATCTCTGAAGTCAAGAAAATTTTAGCATCTGACATTCTGGAATGCAGGCCAGTAGATACAGAAAAGTTACTGCTGATTTCTGGAAATGGTTGAGAATTTATTCTTCTGAATGCTTTAAGCAGCTCGGTCTTTCTTTTTCTTGTGTCTGTACTGTGCAATAAGAGCATGAGTGTTACTGCTCAGGGAGAGGTATCTGTTCTGTGGTTCAGGTGGGGTACTTTACCTGCTGTGAGAACTCACAGGAACTGTGGGAATCAACAGCAAAGGTACAGGCTCTCTGGAATTGCTGTGTCTGATCTTGATCCACCTCTGTTTCTTTTCGTAGCTGACTTTGGATTTGCCCGTTACCTGCAGAATAATATGATGGCAGCAACTTTATGTGGTTCACCAATGTACATGGTAAGTGTGCTTGCTTACAAATTTTTCTGTATTGCTTGTCTCCCCAGAAACAAAACTTCATTTTTTCATTAGTTTTCCCACCTCTGAAAGTGGTTTTTTATTTACTTGTCTAAAAAAAACCCCAAAACCAAAAAACAAATAAACAAACATCTGTTAGGCAGGGATACTTCTGAGTTCTAGCTGCTGGTAGTGCCTGACAACAGATGCCTGTGTTGTTGTCTAACTTTCAGGTGAGCTGTTCATAAGTAAAACTAAACAAAGCAGAACATTCATTTCTCTCTGCTCCCAAAAACTGCGTCTCCCAGGGATGAGCAGAGCCCCTCTGCTGAAGGCACTGGGCAATGAAATGTAATTCCTCTGCTGCAAGCGAAGCAACAACAGCGATGAGTGAGGGCCAGGATGATATTTCACACATCTGGCTGTATTTCAAGTGTTGCTTCCTTGTTGAAGAACCTCAGTAAATCATTGCTTCAGCAGGCCTTTTTGAGGCTGTGGTTCCACAAGCCCACTGTCACTCTTAATCTTGCAGTTGTTTTTGAGAAAGCTAGAATGCTGAGGAATGAGGAAGGTCCCAGTGTAACAGTAGTTTTGTAAAATACCTGCTGATCTTTGCTCTTCAGTCTTGTGAAATCTTCTCAGTCCTATGAACGTATTTAGACACAGATATTGCCTTTCTTGCTAACTTACAGCAAAGTATGTTTTGTACTCAGGGAATTGATGTAAAATGGAGCCTATCTGCTTCTGTTTGCAGTGTGTTTCACTTGCTCTCTCTCACTGCTCTAACCACCCTATGCACACTGACTCTTCCACCAAACCAACTACTTCAAGGGTGGCTCCTTAGGTTGAGAAACAGATGAGTTTAAAAAACAAAGTGCTCCCTTCCTCTTCCTTCGCGTGTTTTAGTCTAGAACCTGGATATGAGGAGGTGATCTGTTGTTTATGTTCATGGAAGCAGTCAGGACCTCAATGTTGCATAAAGTCTGTGAAATTAAAAATGATAAAAGCAGGCTAGAAATATCAGAGCCAGCCATGTGATAGTTCTGGTGGCTGTGGGTGCCTGAGCTCAAAGTAGAGAGCTGTAATAGATCAGTTTAGGCTAAAGTTTTTAGAAGTGTTCTGGGGACCATAGGCACGTTGTCATGCTTTTAAGTCTGAACCCTTTAGGCAAAGAGTCAGGCTGGACTGTGCTGCGCTGCACAGAGGGAGTGTGTTTGGTAGTCTGTTCCACAGCACAAACTTGAGCAAAACAGACTTCCTCCCTTTCTCTTTCTTTGAAGTCTGATGTTTATTTGAACTATGCTATATGTGAAGATGATGTCATTTTTTTTTTCTCCTAGGAGAGTTTCCTGAAATGTCTATTTTTAGTAATACTTCTTTCTGAGTCTCCTGTGAAAGTAAATTAAAATGTCTGGCTTTTAAGGCCTGGAAGAAATTACCAATGACCTCTTGCTTGCTATTTTTTATTTTTATTTTTTTAATTTCAAGACCTCTGGACAGGGAATCTCAGAATGCTTCATGTTGCTGTTCTCCAATTACTGATAGATAGGTTTGAGGGAAGGTCAGCAGGGAGGATGAAACTGAAATTCAGGGGATATTTGAAGCCTGTCTTTATTGCTATTGTGGATTGTGTGCATTAGCTGGGAACATCTGCAGGAAGGCAAGCCCCTGTTCCCTCCTAGCCCATCACTGCTCTTTTCATTTTGCTTCTTTACAAAGAAGGGCACGTTAACCACAGCACGCTTTGTGGCTGAATGCTGATATGATCCATGTCACGTGAGGCTTGAAACCCTCATCTGCGGTTCTTGTCCTCTGGCTTTGCTTGGTGTCATCCCTTGTTGACAGGAGCTTGTCTGTCCCTAACTTTCTCACTGCCACTTTTTTTCTGTTACGTGTGGCCTTTGCTCCTAACGTTGCTAGAAAATTGATCCTGTTCCATGCTGGCAATGCTACGATGAAATCTGTTGTTACAAATGTGTGGGATTAGCAAGCCTGTCCTTCTGCCCCTCTTGCATTGCTGCTCCCCGTGCATGCTGTGTGCTGAACCTACAGCTTCTGGAACCGTGTCCAGCTTCTGGAGCAGGCCTGGGAGAGAGCAGCCAAGGACACAGTGTGGGGTTGGAAAGCAGACTCTGAGGCACAGTGGGGCTTACGCTGCTGGACTGCAGCACACAGATTTGGCTTTGAAACCAAACTGTGGCCTTGGCAGCAAGCTCTGGAGCATAATTAATATGCTGCCATCTTGGACTAAATAAGGAAAGTACAAGTGATGCTGATCAGGATAGAAGTTAAAGTCTACCTGTGCAATGTGAGCCTTTGCTTTTCTCAGTCACTTACCTGCTGTTTGCTTTGCTTCAAAATATCTGTGTGGTTTCAAAGAAATTTCTGAGTGCAGTTGGTTCAGCAGAAAATGGTATGCTTGGGGTGGGACAGAACTGTGTTTTTCCAAAAGAGGTGTAACAGCATAAGGGTTTTTAAAGCATACTGGTGACTTCTTCTCCTTTTCTTGCACCTGCCAAAAATATCTGCATCCTTTGTAAAAGACAAATTTGTGTTCTCTTCCTAAAAAGGCACCAGAAGTCATTATGTCTCAACACTACGATGCCAAAGCTGACCTCTGGAGTATTGGAACCATCATTTATCAGTGTCTGACAGGAAAGGCTCCTTTTCAGGTGAGTTGCTTAGATCTAAGGTTTCTGGATTTTTTTTTTTTTTTTTTTCTCCAAATTCACTATTAGTATTTTCTAAATCCACTTCCTCTGAAGTATCTGTAGTCTATATTGTCACGTGGAACCAGCTTTGTCCTTGTCTGTCAGTCCAGCATACTGGCAATGTGGTATTTTATATATATTAATGCTGGAGATGATACCAGAAAATGAGACCCCTTTGTTTTTCTGAGCTGTATGTCAATGAGATGTGTTTCATGGTTATAAATCCTTGAGCAAGGTTGTCTCCTTAGGAAAGTTATCATGGACCAGCTAAAGCAGTGGTATTTCCAAGCACACACTTGCTTTATTTTTTCCTTAAATAAAGTTTGTATTTATGATGCTATGCTCAATGTATACCCAACAGAATTACAAGCACCAATTATGAAAGGACAATTGCAAGTTAATATTAAGGATGATTTGGTGGTAATATGTAGCAGCTGAAGTAACTTTTGTTTTTAGAGCAGCTAATTAGGTTCTTAGCTCAAGTGTCTTCTGTTATCTCACAGTAATCCTTTCCAACCTGAAATGTTTAGGTTGATCAAGTCCAAACCCCTTCAAACACAGTGCAGTCTGGTAAAACTCCACCCTGTAATTTATGCCACAAGTGCTGGCTGAGTTAGAAAACATCAGTTTTGAAAAACATCCTCTGATTTTTAAATTCCCAATTGATGGAGAACTTACTTCAATCTTACACAAGTTCAGGATTACTTCACATACCTTTAATCTCATATATAGCTGGAGTTAATCTAAACTGTGTGTTTGTCTTGTTCCCAGTCATTAGTGTGACGGAGTACATTGCATGTTACTTAGTTTTTCTTCCATGCCCAATGAGATCTGCACACTCTTCCTTACAACCACTTAAAGCACTGTGCTTGTCAGGTGTTTTCCTTGCTGGCTTATAGCATAGCAGAGAGATGCTCAGGTTGTTGATGCTTCTTTACTTATTCGATGTTTCAGTTCTGCAGAGCTCATCTGTCTAATCCATGGAAAAACAGGAAACCACAGATTTGCATACTGATGTCAGTTCCAGTTCATGGCAGTGCTTTGGCTTCAGATCAGTTAGGACAAATGTGATCTGTGGCCTTTTTTCCCCCTCATGTTCTGACTTCTCTTCATCCTGTTTTGTTGTTTTGGTTTTTTTTTTCCCCCAAAGGTGAGGAGGAGTGGAATCTATGCTCATGCAGTAGGCCAAACTTTATGTGCTACAGGATTTTCTGAGCTATAGCTCCACACCTCTTGACAATTTCATATGAGACCTTGAATGTTTATATAGTTGTATCACCAGGAGGGGAAAAGTGAATTCACTGTCTGTTGTAGGCAACAGTGTACAAATACAGAAATAAACTGATGGTATGTTTTGATTTTTATCTCAGAGCAAAGAACTTTTTCCCCCCTCAGAGTAATTTTTTCCCTGTTGCTATGTGCCTCTTCCATTCCAGTGTCTTACATTCTACCCACCAGCTTAGTCTCTATTTAGCACAAGGCTTCATTTCCTGTGCATGTTTCCTTTTTATAAACATCCCTACTAAGTAGATGGAAACTCCTGAATGGCTCCCATTTGCTGGCTGCATCCACTCGTTGTTGCTGTTGGTGTCTTTGAGTGGAGAAAATGACTGTTGGGATGAAAGAAAATATTTGTGCATTAAGGAGAAAAAAAAAGGGGGGGGGCATAGAGAAAGCAAACTTTGACCCTGTGTGCACTGGGGAGCCTTGCACCAATTAAGTCTTGTCTCTTGGAGCCTTTCAGTCTCTGAAGGCCTGTGATGTTGTGCTCCTTCAGGTGGTGTTAGCTTGCACCTGTGTGACTTCCACAGGTGTTTTTTCACTTAAGTTTTTCCACTGAAAGTATCTCATACAACCTTGGGGCATCTGATTTCTTTGAAAAGAGTAAGGTAGCCTTTGTTATTTGTCATTGAAGCACGTCACAGAAATGTTCTTCTGAAAATGTTTGCTCTTAGAGTGAAGGTTTCTCACAGAAAATAAAATTAAATACCAGTCAGCTTCATTCAGCTCTCCAGCCAAGGTTTTAGATGGGAAGATGGGCAATGGACTGCTGTTATTCTGACCATGAGTCCTCAGGCTCACACAGAGGTGAGGCAGTCCTGCAATGCCTGCGTCCCTTTGAGCCATGGCACTCTCTGGCTTTGCACTGGGCAATGAAGGGGTACTTCAGTCCCTGCTCATTGCTTTGCTCAGTGTTTGCCTGACCCAATGACTTCTTTCTCTCCCTTATGCATTTGGCATCTGTTGGGCTGGGGGGGTCATTTATTTCTCTGTTTTGATTTACTTTTTTCCCCATGCCCTTTTCTTTTTTTGGGGTCTGTGTTTTGAAACAAAATGCTAGCCTCATTTGTTACTGCAGTAGCAGCTGTGGATTTGTTTGATTAGGGAGAAAGAAAATCTCAGCCCAGATGGTTCTCTATGTACCCTCTATTTGTTTTGACTGTGTCACAAACTGCCTTCTCTAGGCTGCAAGTTTCAGGTGAATGGAGCCTGGCCAGGGCAGATGTAGGAAATCTAGTTAAAGGTTAACAAGTTTTATTTCTTTGTTGGCATGACTGTTTTGTAAGAATTTGCTGATAGGCAGGCTGTTGTTTGCAGGCTTTTAAGAGGAGAGGCAAGGATGGTTGATAAAGTGGTGGACCTGTGGCCAGAGTTATTGAAGAGACCCCAAAGCTGGTGCTTTGATGGGGGGGGCACATCTAGAAATGGATGGAGAGATAATAGGCTTGCTTTGCATGGTGCCACCAGCAAACCTGGTTGTGCAGGGCAGCCAGCAACTGGATTTCTCATGGTAACCTCTTGAGGTTAAATCCTCACAATGCATTCCCTTCCAGACTGTCCAGGACAGCAACTCACCTCTGGTAGCTGAGATTCCCATGGGAATTAAATGTGCTGCATTTGGGCTCTCTAGCTTTTTATGAGCCAATTGGAGAACTTCATGGGTATGCAAACCCAAAGGACTCTGGTGTTATCTGTAGCAAGGAGTTAGTGTCTAAAAATAAACGAGCTTTGGGGGACTGGGTTAGATGGAGAAAAGTCCAAACATGTATGGAAAGACTGAGGCAGCTGTCAGTCTAGAAAGTGCTTGTAAATCTAGACAGAGATGTGTGTATGAGAGTGTGTGTCTGTGGATGTGATTTATAGTTGTCTCAGAGTTTTAATTTTAACTGCAGCGGGGTCACTCAAGGCAACTTCCCAAAGCCATTCCTGCTCCTTCCCTGCATGCAGACAAGAAAGAAGCTGCAGATGCTCAGTGTGAACAGTTGGTAGGATGGCCTGTGAAGCTGTCATAAGGAGCTTTTTGTATTAAACATGCCCATAAACAAAACAGCGAGTCTGCCACAGTGATGGGATTAATAGGATTCATAATCCCTATAAACAGATTTGCTGAGCACTGTATTCATGTGGAATTGTTAATTTGCCTTGCCTAATAAGTGGTCTGCACTTGCATCTCTTCATTCCTGTCACAGGACAGGAGTTGAACAGTGCATTTCCAGGTCTTGCTGCCATCCTGAGAAATGCCGTGAGAGTGTAGCAGCTTTCTCTTGTGCTTAGAGATGAAAAGATTGGGCTATCAGGTTCTGCTAAGGACCAGGAGACCTGGTTGTCTGCTGCTGGAGCTCTTGCACAAATCTCCTCACTGCTGTATGGCTGCAGTGTGCTATTGATGCATGAAGAGAGCCGAGGAGCAGGGAAGGGAGAGAGAGAGTGTGCACAAGTTGCTGGTCTGGCAGCTCTGAAAGAGTTAATTTTGTGCGTGTGTTCTTATCCCAGCTAGCTGGTAGATGAAAAATTAATTTCTAAGCCTGACGTACCAAGTCTGCTGCTTTGTTTCTGAGTCAATTCAATTGGCGTAAGTACTAGGATTATATATCACTTAAAACAACTGCTGTGTTGTAAAATGGGCCTTGAAGAAAACTGGGGGAGGAGGACTTCATTCCCAGAATTTGAACTTCTGGTTTATTGCCAGGCGGGCTGCTCTTCTGTTCCCAGAGCTCCTCTCTGTGTCTGTAGGCAGACGTATTCCTCACTGAGGTTAAAAAGTGGTGGTAGGCTGCTGTACCAAAACTTGGCACAGTGATAAACTTGTTGCTGTGGTCAGTGAGCCACAGGCTTTTTGCCTTGTATTTGTTCTCATGGGAGCTGAGAGAAAAGCCTCCATGGGCAGCTAAGGAAAAAGGATATAGCTATCTATATAACTTTTTTTTTCCTGCTGCTTGTGCTTTCAGGATCCCCTGGATGCTTGCCACTTAACTGGAGCAGATACCATTACGTATGCTATGAAATGTTGACTAGACAGTGCTGTTCACTGAGGGTGTGAATGTCTCTGGTCCTTTTCTGACTGAGCTCTGTGCTTTTGCATCCAGCTTCCCCCCAAGCACAACAAATCCAGTGCTGAGTGCTTCTGAAAGCACCACCGCTTGTTGGGTGCAATTTATTTGCAGGCAGCCAGCACCAAGTGGGATTTGGCAGGGTTCTGCTGAATGCCTGTGTTGGCTAAACATATTTCCACTGCTGCTCAGTACAAAGGAGCAGAGTGGCAAGACTGAATTTGTCTGACTGTCTTATATATATAGAAAGGACAGACAAAACCAGACCAGTGCAGCTGCTCCAGAGAAACGTGAGAGGAGGAGCAAGGGCAGGAGTTGGCCTGCTGCTGTGTCTCCTGTGTGTGGGGAAAACAAAGCTGAATTACCCATTGTGTACCATTCTGTACCCATACCTGGTTTCTGACAGATGGGTGCTGTTCTACAGGTAGCAGCTGGCTCTGTGTACCTTGAATGGTCCAGTTGTTAGGTGCATACAAGGATTTCCTAATGTTCTGGTTAGATAGGGTGTATCTCTATAGATTAGTATCTCTCTAGATAAGTCCTTAATGCCTAGAACTGTCACTTCAATTCCTTCCTCTAGCATCTTGTGTGAAGAGGGGTTCTTTATTGAGGATGTTGTTTCTAAGCACTGGCGTGGTGGAAACCTCCTCTATTGAGAGGAGGTTTCTTAATGGTTTTGTGTATGTGCTGTTTTTAATATACCCCATCTTCATTGCCAGGAAAATTTCTGACAAAACAGTGTTTGAAATAGATCAGAGCTTCATTGTATTTGTGAAACAATTGAGTTGTTGCAACAGGAAACTAACAGAGAAAACAGCCAAGGCTTGTGCCTCTCTCATGTGAGCAGACTCTTGGCTTCCCTGCAGCAGAGCAGAGCTCTGTTCCTTCTTGTTCATTGTCTGTCAGGCGTATTTTTCATTCTGCAGAGTGCTGTGGCTGAGCCATTTGGTGCAGTGTGTACACTTGCCTCTTTGAAGTTTGCCAAATATTAGGAATCTAATTAAAGTGCAAGATCTGCAAGGGGTGAGGTGTAAAATGGAGTTTTACCAAATCAAATTGAATGGCGGTGACTGGAAATGCTGACAGAGATCGGCATCTGCATAACAGCATGCTTTGCCAAACTCAATTCATTTAAATGGTTTCCCAAGAATGTATTTTGCACCTCCTGTTTGAGTCCCTGCTGTGTCTGTGAACGATGGAGGATAGATTATTACAGAAGGAACTAGGAAGGCTTGATTTCCTTCTCTTAGGAATCCAGTAGCTCTGTTTGTGCAAGGATCTGGGTGGGTGAGTGTGTAAACAGCAACGCCTGTTTTGGTCCAGTTGGCAGAAAAGTTAGTAGGTTTGGTTTGCTAACACTAAGCAAGAAGTGTTGCTCTAATCAGTGTTACAGCAGTCTGTTGGTATTAGCAGCTCCCTCTGGTTTCTTTCAGAGTTTTGTACTGTGCTTTCTCAGTAGTTCTTAACTTCATGTTCATCTTCAGCCAGAGGGAACAGGTGATGTTGAAACAGCATCTTGTGGCTGCTTTTCCAGCCGTGCTGTGTTAGTGGCATTGTGATGGCCATCTGTGGGTTCACTTGTCTGATTTGCCATTTTAAGCATCTTAATTGACCTTAGATGCTTCCAATTTTGAAATGGCAGTAGGTGGAAGGCTTGAGGGTTTTTGGAGCACACAACGCCACGAGAGCTGCCTGATGCCTCCTGGTTCATGCTTTCCTAAACATTGTGCTGTACCAGTAATTGCTCGCACGCGAATCTTTCTAATCTTCCTTCCCTGTTTGTATATTTACCTTGTCTGTGTCATCCCAGCCTACTCTCTCTTTAATACGGAGACTTTGCTTAAGCAGAAAAGCTGAAGACACTGGGGTTAGCTTCCTAGCCTGTATTTATTCATTGTGTAAAACAAACGGAGGAATGACGTTAGGAGATCTTTGTCTGCGTTTCTGTACTGGAAATGTTATTTTTAACCTCAGTTGTGCCAAGCCTTTTTTTTTTTTTTTAATCTCCTCTCTCAGAATTTGGGAGCTTGTCCACATCTCCAGTAATTATTACATTAATGCACACGTAGGACCTGTAACTCGAGACCTTCTAGCTTCCTGGATTTAAAGTAGAAAACTGATTCTGCTGCTGTTTCCTTATGTTCCTGATTTCTTCAGGTTCCTTGTCCATCAACAGACTCTGCCCCTTTTCTAAATACCCTGCAGCAGTAATCCATGTTGGCAGCAGGAGCTGCCATTTGTCATCTGGGACTCCTCACGTTCAGTTATTTAGCTTCCTAAGTGAGACTATTAGCTCAGCTCTGAGCTGAGCGCTGGAGCCCACTGAAATGAAGCTCAGCCCTCAGAAAGGGGGAGCAGGGCAGAACCAGATCAGGGACAGAAAGGCAGGAGGCTGAAATGCTGTATTTTCACTCTGGTTCAGAGCTCTGGCTTTTCAGACTAAAGCAAGCTGCGGCTTCTGATTGTGTCTGTGAGGGTTTGAAAAGTGCCTCTCTGCTCTTCAGAGTAACTGTGAAATAGAAATGCTGATCCTCTTCCTTTATTGTAAGCTGTTTCACATACTGGTTTTATTTTTCCTCTACAGGCCAGTAGCCCCCAGGATCTTCGTCTCTTCTATGAGAAAAACAAGATGCTGATGCCGAAGTAAGCATTTCCCAGTGTTGCTGTCTGTATGCACTTGTTTACTCTGTCTTTACACCTATCCCTGTGTGCTCCCAGCTTGTCACTTGAGAGATGACTGAAAAATATTTGGCAGCTTGCCTTGCCCCATTCTTTAAACCAATGGTGATATGGCCCGTGAGAAAGAACACTGCATTTCCATAATTGGTGTTCTCTCTTTCTATAGATAATGCTACCCTCCTTTATCGCAAAAAAATATATATAAAAATCAGGATTTTAATGATGTCAGGAACCAGGCAATGGTCCTTTCTGGTGTATGGCTTCCCTGAGGCTAAGAACAGCCTTTTATTAAGAATAAAATAAAAATCATGGCAATTCTTGAATCATGTAAGCGGCCGAACTGCAGTGTCTCTCCTGTAACCTGCTGTACCTGGCTGTGTAGATCACATTGCTGTTTCTCACGTATCAGGACAGCAACTGCTTGTGTCCATCCTGCTAATAGAGGAAATATTATAACCTCTGTGGTAATGGACACTGCTGCAGTCTCCATTGGTCATACAGGGAAGATAGCTCTTTTCATCCCAGGGGTGTATGTTACCTAGTGATGTGCTAGCACATCAGTGCTCTGATTTGTCAGTATATTTTGATTTTGTTGCTGTGGTCTGTACTTTTGATCTACATTCTTAAAGCCAAGCATCATGCACGCTTTGGAAATCTCAGCCTAGTAGAGGAAAAGGACTGAAGTTCCAGATTACATATCCAAATATTGGGAGGCATTTTTGCCCAGAAAGTTAGCTTCTGTTTGGCAGAGCTGCTAATGCAGCCACATGTGCAGGAAGTTCCTTGAGTTGCTTTGTATGGATTTTTCCTTATCAGTTCAGACAGGTCCAAGTGATGGGGGAAAAAGCTGTAAAGAAGCCAGAGTGATTAGCAGTGGCTTCTGCTAAGCATTTAGTTCTCCTGTAAGTACTTCATATTTTGATCTGTGGCAAAGAGGCAAATTTTGATCAGGACTAAAGTTGGTCTGTATTCTTTTAGATTGAATCTGAGTGTGTGATCGAGTGAAACAATTCAGAGCAAAACCACTGACACATAGTTGGAGCCACATAGTCTGTGTAAACAGAAAGCAGACCTTCTGTTTCCCATACACAGTGTAAAACGTGGCTGCTCACCTTTGAGGTAGTGACTCAAAAAAATCACTGCAATTAATAAGCTCCCTGCCTCTGATCACACTGCGCTGCTGCATGGCTAATGTGTGCTATAGGAGACAGCCATGGGGAGAAACAAAACCCTTCTGTAAGAGGACTGCATGTCTGTTCTTATAGGGATTGGTCCTTTTTTTTTTTTGTTGTGAGTTTCCTATGGACACTCTGTGTTTACTATATTTTCACTCGACTCTACTTTTGAACTCTCAAATTTCACAGTATTTAAATCCAAACCCATTATTTTTTTTTCCCACTGTAGAAGTTGGATCCAAAGTGGCCTTTGTTAATGCTTTCTGAAGTTTGTAAGTTTTAACATGAGCTGCAATCAGTGCTATTTCCTGAGCAAACACGAATGAACTGCCCCCACCAGCCCTGCCAGTACAGGATGGGACATGAAACAACTCAGGACTTCATTCTCAGATAGCAGCAGTGCCAGTGTTTGGTTTTGTTCTCCTTAGGGCTAGGCATGCTGGCAGCCACCTCCCCAGCATCACCATGGAAGATGGTGTGTTTTGGCTTGGGAATGGGGTGGGGAAGAACAGCTGATTAAATCCTCACCAGCAGCCTCTACCTCCCAAGCCGATGCTGTTGCTGACAGGTGAAATGCCATTCTGAGGTGGGGAGCCCGTGGCAGTAGGAACAAGCCCAAAGGCCTCACAATTTTAATAGCACTGATCTAAATAATTAACATTCATTGCCCTGATTTGCATGGCAAAGTATATCTAGATCACGGAAGGAAAGTGGCAGTTTTGTTGCTTAGGTTTCTAAGCTTGATGTTTTAGAGGTGAGAGATGGAGGAGGCAAACAGACTATAAATCTGCCATCTCGTCAGTCTGTTCTAGCATCTGAGGTCTACTACTTGACCTGCCTGTTCCTTGGCTTTAAAATCATACAAAAGCTAAAGTCATTGCTGGGAAACAGGCTCATTTTGGATGAGTGCTTTGTGTTTTGAATAAATAAATGATGATGATAACACTGGAGGACTGCAGATCTCCGACACTAATGTATTTTTCAGGAGACTGATAGCTGTGGTATCCTGGGTATCCTGAGAAGTAGACTCGGTGTGCTTCTAAGGCATGTGCTTTTTGACAAGGGGTTGTTTTTCTTGGCTCAAACTGACTGTTAGTTTATCTGCATCGCACCCAGAGTCCTTGTGGTCTCCTCTGTCAGGCTGGGAAGAGCGCACAGCTGTTCCAGTGTCAGGGGTGGAAAAGCGTCTCCTCCAATACAAACAAGGGTGGTGTATGTTTAGGATGATTCTCTGTTCTAGGAATCACTGGATTCAAATTCCTACACAGATGAAGCCTAGGACTTCACAGAAAAATAACCAGATAGTTATGAAGCCTATAAATACACACCTTGCCCAACATCTCTGGTTTCACTTCAGACCGAATGGAATTCTGGTAGAGCCAACTAGCACTCCTTCTCTCTTCCATTTGACCCATCTTCTTTTCCACCCTGTCTGTGGAAGCCGTGTGGGAACAGTTGCTTCTCCCAGCGTCCGTCAGCCTTGGCTGCAGGCTGGCAAGTGATGCCAGCCCAGCAAAGTGCAGCGCTGCCCGAGTGAATCACGTGCTGTGCTACTGAGCAGGCTCGGGCTCCACGCAGTTCAAATTACTGTGCTGAGCACTCGTGCCATTACCTCGGCTGACCCTTGTGTGGGGATTGGGAAAAGCCTGGCAGGCCGTGGGGCCATGCTGGGCACAGCAGTGATAAACACAGTTAATGCTGAGAGGAGTTGGAGCCGCCTAGGCTTAATTTGGAGAACTCTGCTCTGGCTGCACGCAGGGCCTGCTGCTACAGGCCCTAACGGTGCTGTTGGTTACAGAGGAAAGTAACAGATCTAAATCCACTTATGCAAGAGCTGAACTCTGCTTTCCCTTCCTTAATCCATTCATTTATTCCCTGCTTCTCACAGTACATTGGAGTTGCAAAGATCTGCCCTGGCCTCTCTCCTATCTACCGATGGGACTGGGGTGAGAATGGTGATTTATTGGCTCTCTTGTGTTGCAGTGACCATTGAAAGGAGTACTTTCTTCCTGGTCATACTGGAAGGTGGGGAAATAGCTGTGCTAATTTTAGCTTGCTTTGGGTGCCAGATCTTAATGGCCTTTGGTTAATAAATGTTGTTTGTATATCAGGGAAGCAAATAGACAAAGGTCACTTGCCAGCTGTGTTTAAAAAGAAATGCCTTAATAAAATGGTAGTAATTGGTGATACATATTCACAACCAGATTCTTAATTGGAAACTTCCCCTCATGAACTGCTTCATTTTAATGACTTCTTTGTTCCCACTAGAGCAAGCAGAAGAGATTTTATTCAGTGTGAAATACTGCCTATTGACTGGATTGAGCTGAGAGCTGGAGGGATGGTATTGGCACTGCAGCCGAAGGGGGAATTGCAGGTGCTCGTGGGAGAGGCCACTACAGCTAGATTAGTTGTAGCCTTAGCAGTTACAATGGGGAGTAAAAGCCAAGCAGGGATGCAAATAGAGATGTTCCTGTTTAGCCTCTCTCCAGTGAGCCCAGCAGGGACAACGCAAGTTTGCATTTGCAGTTTGCCTTTCTGAATATGCAGAAGTAGCTTAAACAGACTGAGAGTCTCTTATTTTGCTTTTGTTTTCAATCCTAGCATCCCCAGGGAGACATCAAGCCACCTGAGGCAGCTACTGTTGGGCCTCCTGCAGCGCAATCATAAGGACCGCATGGACTTTGGTAAGAGGCCACTCCAGTTTGAGTTCTGCTGCCAGTCTGTGCCTTGCTCTGCCATTTCCTGCACAAACCTGTGTAGTTTTGGAGAAGCAACTAGACTGGTGGTACCTGTGTTTATCTGCCTGGGAGACTCAATGATCTTGATTTAATTAAGTTATTTATGTGCTGGAAAGGTCCATATGGATTCCAGCAAAGTTTTGCGAACCCAGAGATTTGGCAGACTTCATCAAATGCTTTCTAATATATGTTCCCTCTCCTGGCTTCTGCTTTTGAAGTTTCTTTTCTGTTCAGTGTGCTATCAGGTGAAATGTGCAACTTGTGCATCCCAGTTCTTAACTGTCATAGTGTCTTCCAAAAGCTGCAAGCTATATCAATTTAATGGTCAGTTCAGGTAATAACCCCCTTCTTCATGGGTCTGTTGTGATAATCCCTTTTTTTTTATTGTTATTTTTTTTTAAATACCCTCTAGGCTGAGAACAAATATTAGGTGCCAGGAAGTTCTGGTTGTAGTAGCTTCTTCCAGATGTGCCCAGGTGAGCTGAAAGACCTGCAGCCTTTTCTGAAAGTCATGATCTTGAGAAAAGCAGGCAATGTAGAATTTTTTTCTCAAGTCCCTTAAAGGACCAGTTCACCTTAAGGCAGCTATGGTCTTTTCTCCTTCTCCCTTCCCTTTGGGTAAAGATAGCACAGCCCCTTCTCAGGTGAAAATCAGGACAAGAATAGTTTCTCTCACCAAAGTCCTGATAGCATGTGGTGCTCTGAAGGCAGAGGAGAACAGCAGTGAGCAGCTTGCCTCTCACTGGTCTGTGCTGCTGGTGGAATGGTAAGTTTTGCTTGCCCAGCATCTATTTGAGTGGTGCTTAGCACTGGGCAAGCCTATTTAACTGTTGGTTTTCCCTGCTGCTGGGGTCTCAGAGCCCACAGGTCTGTGTGAAATATCAGTTGAGCAGTATCACAACACAGTTAAAGAATCACTTGAGTCAGGAGGGACTCTTAAAGGGCATCCAATCCATCTCCCCTACAGTGAAAAGGAATATCTACAGCTAGATCAGGTTGTCACACAACTGGCTGTTCTTTTGCAAAAATAAATTGAATAAGGGTAAGATCATGTAGTCAGAATATTACTTTAGAGTCCAACTTGGAATAAAAGGGTTTGTTACTTGTCTTTTAAGGGTTGGTTTTCTGTTATTTTTTGTGCTTATCAGCTCAGGTGGATTGTTTCCTTTGGGGCAGCATGTGCTAGTTGATGATGCAGCCTTTGTTATTCCTTTGGATTAGAGATAACGGGAGTGCCTTTCTGGGGACACTGTCATCTGGGTAAAGCAAGCATATGGATTGACAAGTCTGATTGTAATTATTGCATGGTGAATGTGAAGGACAAGTGTGTACAATGTTGCAGAAATAAGAAAACAAACCTTTTCCAAAGGGAATTATTGAAAGTATTGACAGACTGACTTGAATATAAGTACTTCTCTCAGTAGCCCCTGCAGGTCTTCTATCTGGGTTGTGGATCTCTGCCTCTTTTGTCGTGCTGCTGTACATCTCAAAAGAAAACTACATTTGAGGTTCCCATTTCCCTGCTGTCAGAAATGGAGTCTGGTGAACCTTTTTAGCAGCCCTGTTAGCTGGCTTTGTACTTCTTCAGAATAGAGTGCATGAGTCATTGTCTCTCTAGCTCTTGAAAATTTAAGATAATATACTTTGATTTCACTCAGGACAACAGTTTCAGAACATCTTACTGGATTGAGATTCTCTCCCCTAATCACATAAAGGATCCTTTTCTCTATAGATTGGCGTGTCCTTGTAATATGTAATTATTTCTTGGGGAGAGTTTGTGAATGTATTGTTAAAGGAGCTTATGCTAGAGGTGTTCCTTGTGCGTTACAGAAGGATGCCAGACAGCCACTGAGATCTATTCATTTTGTATTACACTATCTCCCGTCAGTGAAGGGGAAAACATACCCCAGAGCAGTGATTTATTAAAGACCAATCTCTTCTTCCTCATCATCCAGTTGTGTTCTTTGTCTCGTCCCTTCTTCCTTCTTGTTTTCCTTTCTCTGCTGTCTTCTGCTGCTAGGTCTTCAGCTCCTTTATGTTCCTGGGGGCTTACAGTTTGAAGTACACTTGCTGAATGGACCTTTAGTCTTTTCCTGTCAGTGTCAGCTTGGGTAGTGCCTCTTGCCAGAACAGTAGCACTGCTTAGCTGAGAGCACTTCCCCGTGTCCAACTTCTGTCATGTCTTCAACTGCTGCCCGTGGCCAGCTGCACACAAAGTGTTAACGCCCTGCAGCTCAAGATCCTGTCTGAAGCAGATCTCCCTCACCTCTTCTTCCCTTAGATGGCTCTCCTGGTAGACAGGTGCTTTGGTTTGCTGCTGGCAAGCTAACTGAAGGCTCTGCTCACCTACACTATTTATAAAAAGTCTAATTTGGCTGATGGTCTGTACCTTTGTTAGCTGTCCCCTTTACCCTCCTGTGCTCTGATGGTTAGGATCTGTGTGTGGTGCTGAGCCAGGGCTGCTCTTATTTGGTCCCTTTGGCCCTCTGTGGTCCCTTAGAGATAGGAGCAGTGCTCTCCACAGAGCTCCCCCACATCTCAGCTGCTCCACACAGCTGCACTGCATGAGGTTGAAGCTCCTTTGACTTATTGTATGTTCTACCAGGAACTTGCAATCTCAAGATTATCTAGAGGAAGACAAGGAAGGTTTGAAACTGCAAGCTGCCTGCTTATGATTACAATTTCTTGTTAAATTTTGCTTTGCAAGCACAACTAACTAGCAACTAACAACTAACAAGCAGTTTGGAGGGGAAAACATGAAAGAAATATAGTCACTTCCACCCTCTAAGATGTTACTACATAACTGGTTGAATCAGCTGAGCTGAGGGTGCTGCCTCTGGAGGAGTGGGCTGAAGAAGCAGCATGAAAGTCAAGTGGACCAGCAGCTCCTGGTGAATAAGGATGTTTTCCATCCACAGCAAGTGTTATCTGAGATTCCAGTGTTCCCTGCCAGAGGATTCCATGACTTCTGTTGTGCTGAGCACCATACTAGTGGGCTCTGACTGCAGGATTCTGGCACTGCATTGGCAAGAATGGGCTGAAGGGAAAGGGATTATGTTAAACAAAACAAAAAGCCCCACAAAACTGAAACCAGTTTGTGCTTTCTGGAAAGCTGTCTGGCCAAAGAGGAGCTGTTTACAGAATTTGGGAATCTGCAAACCTCGGGTGATGCAACAGGAAATTCGTGCTGGGAAAACAAGTTGAACAGCTCACAGTTAGCCAAGTAATCAGTGTTGATCCATGACTGATACTTCTGAAAGGCTGAATTGCTTTGCATTGCTGGTCACGACAGAGGAAGAATCAGTACAGAAGTGCAGTGGATTGGAGATGAAGGAATCAGAAGCTACGTAAGACAGGAAAACATGTAGAGAGTCTCCAGCAGGCCAAGACAGAGACATTTCATGACCTGGATAATGAGAAAATTCTCCTGTAATGAGTGAAGATATACCAGCACAAGTGCCATAAGGAGTTCTGGGTTTGTAATTCTGTGGTGGCCTTTTGGAAAATGCACTTCTGCCTTGAATGCAGGATGAGGTCCCCTCTGTGTATTATGGAATATCACTCAATAGAAGTCATTTGTCTCTTTTGTGGGATTAGTGGCAGCACAATACAATAAATGTATATCTCCCTTGGATCCCTACAGTTATGGTGACTTTGTCATTCTGATCAACTAGGAATTATGGCTTTTAATGCTACTTGGCATCTTAGCATTTGCCTTTTCTTGCTGATAAGAGCTTTTAACACAGTCATGCCAACTATTGACACAGTTGTTTCTGACCCTCAGTAGCTGACTCAACTGCAATAGCCATTGAAAGATGGAATTATTCACAATTAATTTAGTGAATGCTTCTGGCAGCCCAGGCTTGTAGCTTGCAGCAGAACATTACCAGATTCTTTAATAGTCTGTGGGAAAGGAAAAGCCACTTGGACATGCTTGAGACTCACCACCGCTACCAAGCAAAGCTTTTTTTGTCCTTGCCTTTTTTCATTGGCCCACCTGGTTTCCCTCCTCACCCCTAGCTGATGTTGCAGAGATGCCTGGTAGCACACGAGCTGCTGTTTGTTTGTTGTTGTTGTTTGGCTTTGGTTTGTTGTTTTTTGTTTTTTTTTTTTTCCCATCCTTAAATAGTGATCCTTGGATCCAGACAACTTCATTTTCTGTGGAAAAAGTCCCACATCTTTACCTGTCTCATCTGTATTCTTTCCCAGTGCTGCCTGTAGTAGTCAGCTTCCATGATTAAGTGACTAGATTGCATGGAAAAATACTATAAAAATTACTGTCCCTTTTTATGCTTGAACTGCTTTGTAAACTTACGGTCTTTTCCTTTCGCTGACTCATTGCTCGTGTTGGTTTTTTTTCAGATGAGTTTTTTCATCACCCATTCTTGGATGCAAGTGCCTCAATGAAAAAATGTAAGTGTTGCATTTTCATTATAATGGTTTCCAAACCATGACATCTTCCTGTGCTGCTAGCTCAAAAGGAAAGAAAAAGGCTGCTTTATGTTTTCTTGTTGTTCAGGTGTGGATTCAGGGGGTCATTACTGTGTCATGTCCAGATTTTGCCATCAGAATGTATTCAGTGTTGCTGAAGTATCTTCAAAGGGAGAATGTGGGGGCTATTTAGAAACCTAATTCAGAAGTAAATGTATCTTTGAAATGCATTTATCTCTTCTTATGGAATGCTTGTCCAGTAGGGATATTTGCAGGTAAACAGGATTGTGTGTGAAGATCTTGTTTTCACCTATATGTGTAGGACAGCTCAGTACAGTGAATGGGCAGAAGGAAGCTGACCTTGTTGTCATTGCTTTCTAGTTGTGGTACCTTAGGTTGGCTTTGCTGAATTGTGGGTTGAAAATACAGTTTCAGTGCGTACCTCAAAATTCTCGCTAAATTTTAATTTAGAGGAGGATATGTTTTGGAGTTCTGTGAAAACTGGTTGAAAGAACAGCCGTTTTCTATTGAAAATTCTTTCCTCTTCTGAATCAAAATTTTTGAAGACTTTTAACCACGCGTACTGCGATTCAGAGGTTTATTTTTGGTGGAAAGTAATTCAGAATTGCTGCCAATGCATGGGTTATAATTCTTCTCTGGCCAAGTGACTTGGTTTGATGGAATTCTGTGTAGTCATCTACTTTCTTCTGGAAGGATATTCATGGGCTTTTGATCTCTTAAGTAATAGAGCCAAGATTTCCAGCAGTGGCTGCTTTGGGGTGCCCAACATGAGGGCTGGGAGTTTCAGTGGCAGTGTGCCCAGTGCTTTCTGAACACAGAGCCCCTTGAACAAGTATGCAGTGGATTCCTCCATATCTAAGTCTGCACTGATCTGCAGTCTCTTGCCTCCTCTTTCCTGGCCCAGAGCAGAATTTCTGAGTTATTTCTGATACAGATTTTTAACTGTGTATGTAGGTGACCATCCTGCGGGCAAGAAAAGACACTTCTGGTTTAGGGGAGCTTGCAAGCCAACAAGATGTGGTGTGAGTCCTGGGAAACAGGACTGCTCCACAGGCAGGAAAAGATTCTGCCTGTTTAGGACTGCTCCTAAGCCAGCTCAACCCTCAGCACCTGCTCCACCTCTGCTCTCTGGGAAAAAGCCTTCAAAGTCTGATCCCCAAATGGGTGGGGAAGGACTCCCACAGCTCTGCCTTGCATGCTCACCAACTCATCTCCTACCTCCAGCTGTTCCATTGCTTCACTGGCCAGGAGAATGGAAAACCCCCTGCAAACAGGGAAGGGTTCCCCTGGCTTGGCCTCAGTTTCCAACTTGTGCACCCTTGTGTGGAAACCAGAGGCACCATTACAAGCAGGGGATGGTAGCTCAGCCTTTGCTCCCAGCTGCACCAGAATTAATGGTGCATGGTCACAGCCCAGTAAAGAGGGCACCTGTGCAGGCAGGTAAGGACTATCATAACTCCCCCATCCCCAGGCATGCATCCACAGCCTGGAGTCCTCCCCAGGCAGGATACACTAATAGTGGTTTTGAAAAGATGAGGGGAGAAATACGTTCCCATCTTGGGAAGCCATTAAATTGTTGTGTACTGGGAGAAGATTGCTACTGGAGAAGAGCCTTCTTGTAGTCTACCACTGCTGGGTGGCAGTGGTGTATGGAGGCACCTGGGAAGTACAGTGAAGAGCCGGACTACTTCCACGTGGAGCCTTTGATTTGCCAGTTGGTGAGAGAAGAACCACTGCGTAAGCGAATGCCTGCATCATGGTGACCTTGTGAAGCTTACTCATGACTCATATCAGGATGCTGCTTAGCATGGTAGCAGGGTTCATATTTACACAGGTCCAGATGATGAAACAAGATCATGGTGGCTGAAGGGTTATCCTACTATGGCTTTCTGTGCAGAACTAAGCCAAGTCCAGAGCTGAGTGCAGAACTAAGCTTGTTGTGCTGCTTTATCTGTATGAATCACCGCAGCATGAATGCAGGAAGTATCAAAGAGAAGAAAGCTGGTTATATCTGAATCATGATGGTCATGCTCCCATTGAATGATGGAGTCCTCAGGCTTGGAGGAAGGACAGTATACCCTTACATCTGTTCTCCCAGGCAGCTGATAACTGTGCTACTGGTGACTTCAGTGGAAGTGGCACTAGCACACTGAGATTTGAGTGTGCAAGTTTCCCATAGGAAAGTTTGTTGTATCATCTGTTCAGGTCTACAGCCACTGGTCGTAGAAGTGGCCTTTGCCCCTGCAGGCAGGTCAGTGCTGACTGCAGAGCTGAAGACATCATCTAGCTTTCCAAGTGCTGCCGAGGGTCATCCAGATCTGGTTAAAACATAGTGATAAAAAAACAAAGAGCCGTGAGCTGTTTGTTCTGTTTGAATATATTATTGCTCCATCCTGGGAAATCAGATGAAAGATGCTTTTTTTTTTAAAAAAAAAAAAAGTTTAAACAGTGAAATTTTGGAATTCAGAATGACATTTAGGAGTTCCACAGTTTTCTTAAGTGGAGAATTTTGAAGTTGCCAAGAAGGTCCAGGCTTCCTCACTCACAAACATTTTCACACTTTTCAAGACGTTTCAGCAAAATCAACATTTCTGTCAGAAGTTTTTAAATTCAGCTGTTCTGACAAGCTCATCCTCTGCTCTCCAGTCATCTCACTCTGAAGCGAGGACATAAATCCTCTGACATCCAGACCACTGAGCTCTGATTGCCACTGGCTTTAGTCTGGAGACTGGATTCAGGGCCTTGGGTTTTCTTAACTGAAGCATCCACTTTTTCTCTGTTTATAATTAGTTTTATACTGTGGGTTTTGTACCTGTGACTAAGAGTGTACTGCAGAAGTGTACAATTTTGTTAATAAAGTCTTTACAATACCCCGTCTAGTCAGGATGTCGTCTTTCTGTAGCCAGGCTTCTGCTCCCTGTGTGGTATGGGGCAGTGTGTTACAGTAATAGGGCATAATTAGGTGCTTGTGCAAGTCTGCTCAGTAAACACACGGTAATTAGTGCCCACACAGATTGTTTTGGAGTTCTTTTGCTCCTGTCTTTAATGAATGCTAAGCTGGTACCTCCTTTACTGTGACTTCAGAGTATAAATCATGAGCAGTTACGGTTCATAGGCAAACACTGCAGTGCTGGTGGGGTGGTTCAGTGTCTGGGAGATGTGTCTGACTTAGTGACTTTTTGCATTTTTATCATCTTGATGTGCCTCATTGCCCAGGAAGATACTAGCAAAAAAATCACTTGGACTTGTACGAGAACAAAATGGTGGTGGTGCAATTTTTTTTAACTATAAAAAGCAGCTTGTTCTTCAGGCCAATTAAACTATTAAACTATTGCCTTGTCTGCAGTTAAGTGACTTATTAGTGACTAGTTTTGATTAAATTGAAATAATTACAAAAACATTCCTCTGAATGCTCATAAAACTCTGATTCCAAATAAACTGAAGGAAAGATGGAGGATCAGATATTTTTAGGGCAGCCGAGTCCCTTGTAGGATGATGTGCCAGCAGGGATTTCTGCAGGTGTGGGATCTGATATCAGGATCCACGCAGCTGGAGCACAGCCTTGTCTTTGTGGCTCCTAGCTCTAGTTCAGAAACCAGTTGGTGTTGGATATCCGAGCAACATGCACGATGGCTGCTTTGTTGCTGGAACAAGATGGAGAGGACAGTGATGAAAACAGACTTATTTACATTACAGTTACAACCCAGCAATTTCTGGATTTGGGTGGGGGCCTGCCATTCATGTTAACATTCCCCACATTCAGACTTGAGCTGAAAACATGATGAGCCAAGTGTTTGCAGCCTTTTTAATTTTAAACTGGGAGTGCCAGGGTGTGTGGAGGAGATGGAAGTGAGTGTTGTGCTTTCAAGCTGTCTTGTGTGCCTTACGTGGAAAAATGCACCAATGTGTGCATGGAAGGCAGAGATGCATGGACTGAAAGTCCTTTTTTAGCATCAGGTCCTTTTGTATTTGACCTCATGGCATTACAGCGTGGATTTGGGGAGCTTGCTGGGTTTAAAATGAGAACGTGATTAAAAATGCTGTATCTGAAGGTTGGGCTTTGAACAGATAGCATTTTAATTTGAGTTTCAGTTGGTAGTGAAGTCTGCCTACTTGTCTTTCTAGATTAACGGAAAGCTGGCCAAAGCAAACAGACAAAATTAGAAAAGTCTCAATTTCAGCCAGGTTTAAATCAATAATAAACACAAAACCAAAATTAGAATGGAATGGACCTTGAGAGAGAACTGATATGACTCTAATGAAAATACCAATTCCAGGAAAAACAGCCAGCACTACAATTTTTGCATGTGGACGCAGTTCAAAAGCCGCTTGCTTTTTAAGAGCCTTTGCATAGTGGGAGGGTTTGTCTGTGCAAAGGTGAGTGGTGCAGAGCAGCTGGCAGGATAAAAATGGGGAGATTCGCCTCTGGTTCGTGGTATTAAGCGGTTGAGAAAGGTCTTAGGGATTCCTCTGTGGGAGTCTGTGAGATCAGAAGCAGAGTGGTATAGGCAGGACAGAGCTCTCTCTTTTGCAGGCAACTTCCCAGATCTCTGTGTGTGTTCCCTGAGCGTGGGCAGTGTGAAGCAGCTGTGCTGGAAGCCTGGGGAGCTGGAAGGGGATGTGGGTGGTGTAGCTCTCCATGCCAAACCCTTGACCGACCTCCCAAAACATCCATCTTCAGGGCACCACAGTGCTTGCTTCTGTCCTGGATCCGGAGCCGTATTTTAACAGTGCATTGCAAGAAGCAAACCAAGCACGGCATAGATGGGGGGGAGGAAGGTTAAAAGAAAAAAAAACCAAACCAAAACAAAACGAAGCTCTCTCAGAAGGTTTAGAAAGATTTCATTAATTCTGCATCTACCATGCAGTGTCCTGGTGTGTGTTCTAAAGCACTGGGGAAGGCACCTGTACATGTGTGCACGTCAATGCTGCTGGGGCTTTCTATTGCACAAGCCCCAGAGCTCTGAATTGGTTTCTGTTTGCAGTACAACTTAAACATTTGGTTTTTGTTTATGTTAACAAACAGGGGGAGAAGAGCACCATGACCCTGTTCCAGTTAATAAGTCTGCACTTTTTTGGCTTTGTTTTCCTGTTTTTGGATTTCATTGCATCTTTGTCAGACTAAGGACTTCAGCCTCTAAGTGGCTGTTCTCTTTGTGCTGATCTCACTGATCTCACCATCCTTTAACCCTCTTTGATAGGCTAAAAGGGAAGACCTTATAAAGCCTTTTATTAGAATGATTGTTTTTCCATTCTTTTATAATTAAAACGCCGTTTCAACAGTTAATTGCTGAGGAGTGTAGTTTTGAGTTTTTGCTTGCTCCACTTTGTTGTCTAGAACTTTGTAGTAGTTAATGCAAAAAATGACAGAGTTTTACTTCAAACAGAAGTGTTCTTTTAGGGTCTTTTATTGCCTCTCTTTCAATTAACAAGCATGGAATCGTTAGCACAGATCCTGTAAAGGTAGAAAATGGCACAAGATACTCATTCTCTGCCAATTCAATGGAAGAAAAGCAAAGCAAACTGTTCTTCTCACTTACTTGCCCCATCTGATCTCTGTTTAAAATTATTCAACTACCCAAATGGTTGCACGCTCAAATTTGATCTTGGTTGGATGTTCTGAGACCTTCCACCCTAAGAGCTGTAATGGTGAACTAGTGTGTGGAGGAGTGGATGGATACAAATCTCAGAACTGAATAGAATGCCAGTTTTTCTACTGTTCTCCTTTAGCTGGCAATATCTGGTATGTGAGATAAACCTGATGTAAGAAGATGAAAAAGGCACTTTAGTATTGACTCATGTTGACAAGTTATTTTGTATTGATATATGTATTTTTCTTTTTTTCTCTTTCCCTTATTTTTAGCTGCTTCTGTGCCAATGCCTTCTTACCCCAGTTCAGGCTCTGGTAGTTCCTCCAGCAGCTCTTCTACTTCCCACCTGGCATCACCTCCTGTAAGTACAGCTCAGAGGATGCACCACTCCTGTTTGCAGGCCTCTCACTTGCTTCTTTGGAAATGCAGCCTTTGCTTTTGCTGTTGTCTGGTGTGAGTGGCAGAAAACCTGAGTTCTCCCTGGGTTTTGTGCACTGTTTTCCAGTCTTATACTTTGTTTCCAGCTTATACTTTGCGTGCTGAATGTTGTCTTTCTCTTCTCAAGAAATATTTCAAAGTGTTATTGCCTATTATGTGAAGAGCCTTTGTGAAAGGAGTTGGTGTTAATATTGCTCATGTTGGCAGAGATAGGAAGCTCTTTGGAACCAAAAAAAGTCGATAATTTAAGGCATAGCTTATTCAGCTGCAAGTTCTCTGTTCTCAAGCAGAGTCTTTGCGACTTGACAACATATTGGCCCTTTTTATGACAGACAGCACTGCTCCTTCCTGACCAGCATTTCCAGCCTCACAGAGACACATTCAGTGTGGCAGTTTGCTCACACCAGGCCTCGCACATTATGAGAACTGTCTTGAAGGGTAGGACATGAACTGACCAGTGCAGTGACATTCCTTCAGCTCGCTGAAGTGAAAGCGTGTTTTTGGAGGCTGTTGGTGGAAGCTGCCTTTCAACTTTGAACAGAGGGATGCTGGTGGTATGATGGGTAGCGGAAGGAAGAAGGACTGAATGTTCTTATCTTCTCCCTGTTACTGCTGCTTTTTTGCTGAGGTTGCCAAGGCTTCTCAACTCCTTCAGGGAGTGCTGTGACTGAGGCTTCCTTTCTGTGTTTGTGGAAAATATTGTATCTGTTGTGAGGAGCCGCTGAGGGAGAGGTGTAAGGACACAGTCTGAAGCTGATTTACGTTCTCCTGGTGCAGCCTGCAGGAGAGGGAAGGTCTGTTCTCTAAATGTCACACAATTGTGTCTCTGGCTGCGTTTTTACCCCTGGCAGCCCCAGACAGAAGGGTTCTTGGCTGGGGTGCTCCTTGGCCAAAAGGCTCCAGGGGTGGGTAGATAATATCAAAAACAGACTCACTTCCCTTAAGCTTTCCTGGTTCAGGGAGCAGTGGAGACTCGCTGTCCTACTGTGAGGGCTCCATGTTAGAAATATATTGCACCCGTCCTGGTCTGCATTTGGAAGATATGCTGATGGAGCTGTGCTGGCTCAGCATGTGAAAAATGCCCCGTCTGCAGGGCAGGGCTAGCGTATTGCATGGAAAAGAGCTTTGATAGCTGGGAAATTCCTTCTGCCTGTGTATTCTGCATTTGTAGTGAGAGTCAGTCCCTTGTAGGGACAGCAGGAGAGGCTTTATGGCGAACGAGGCCTAAATAGGGCTCAGGAAAAAGCTGTTTCAGATCTTTCTCATGAAAAAAAAAAATCACAAGGACTAGCACTAAAGATTGTGATCTGCACAGTGGGCAGTTCTTAAATCATCCATCTCCAGCCTCCTCCATCTGTCTGTCAGAGGTGAGGATTATGGGGCTTTCTTTCTTCTGAAGGAAAAATGGAGCTGTCTAGAGCCTGTTGTGCCTCTGAGAGCAAGGTGATGTTCATCTGCAGAATACTGGGCCTCCTTTGGGTCTCTCTAACTCCTCATATCGAAACAGCAAAACGGGGTTGTCCCAAAAGTGCAGACGCTGTGTATGTGTTTGTGGGTGGAGATAGAAGCTTTGAAAGCTTTTCTATTTCTCAACCTCACCAGATTGAGTTTGTATCAAATGCACTGTTGATCCGGAAGGCCTTAGCAGTAGCAAAGGGGTATGGTACCTGAAGTGAAATTTTCTTACCTCAGGTGCATCAGGCATGCTGGCTCTATGTTTTGTATAACAAAGGATGCACAGTTCTGACACTGACATAAAAAGCTCATCCTTTTCGGAAAACTGAACATCTGCCTCTGGCAAGCTATCAGCCCCGGTTTATGAGAGAAATGCTGTCTGTAGCCTTGTGCAGCTTGATTTAAAGGATCCAGCAGAATGATGAGGTAGCTGTGCTGAAGCCAGTGTTTGTTTTCTTCTTGAATTAGCAGTCTCTTGGAGAGATGCAGCAGCAGCTGCAAGAGAAGGCGTTAGCATCTCCTACCCAGGATTCCCCCGGCTTCCTGCATGGATCGAAGGACTCTGCTGGAAGCAGCAGTAAGAATTCATCCTGTGACACTGATGACTTCGTTATGGTCCCTGCACAGTTCTCAAGTAAGTTGGCTCATGGAAATTGCAGACATTCTGAGAAAAGGTGGATATAGATCCTAAAGGTAGTTAATAGACAGTTGAGGCATTGATTAAAGCTGTTTCGACTGAATAGCGGGAATGTTCTCGTTCTCAAGTTGCAGGAGACATCTGGCTGTCTGGTTAATTTCACAGGATACTTAGTAATTATCTTCAAAGATAGGAGATGAGAGTAAAGATTATTTGGGGAATGCAGTAAGAGATTGAACCTGGAAATCCAATTGGAGAAAGAGATAAGTAGGCTCATAGAGAAATGACTTCCACTCTCAGAAGATGTTCCCATATTATCCTATGTTCAGTTTCACTCAGCAGCACAGAGAAAGGCAAGATTTCAACTACCAAACCAGATTTTATACTTGAAAAATTTAAGGGAAAAAAAAAAAAAGAGGTGTCGGATTTTTCTTCAAATACCTTGAATTTGTTATTAGTACCTCTGTGTGTTTATACTTTGATAGGAATTGCATGAAACACAGACAAGGGCCAGAGCTCCATTGCAGCTGCAGACCTAAGTATGTTTATGTCTAAGTACTTAACCAGCAGAAGGATGTTGTTCAGTCTTGGCCATGCGTATGATAATTTGCTGAGTTGGGACTTGGTGATAAATGCTGTGATTTCATCCAGGACTTCATAGTATGAGGATCAGCAGCATCCACAAACTTAAGTTTCAGCCTGCGTGAATTTGGCAAATCTTGTGCAACTTAGCAGATCTTCGAGGAGCAGGAAATTCAGTTGCTTTTCTGGGGATATGATCACTAACGTTTCTTCGCTCCGTTGTTCCTCAGGTGAAATGACTGCAGAGGCTGCAGGAGGGAAGCCAATCCAAGACAGCCTGATGTACAGTGGGTAAGAGCACCAAGGGAGCTGAAATTGTTGAATGTGCGTGTGCTAGTGTGTACACAGCTTCTGAAGTTGATACTCTGTGCTTAAACTGAACTGCATCCATTAAAACTAAACTGCAATTCATTTGCTGTAAGGCTCTTTATCCGGGTTAAAGTGGCATTAGAGCAATGCAATCTAAAGGGCCTTTCAGTCCTATGCCACTGCCAGGTGATCAGTGTTTGGCACCTGAACACTGGAGTGTATGTGGGGCAGCATGACAGACCCAGGGCTCCTAGACTCAGTACTCAGGGGAGGATGCTGGGCAGACACAGCTCTGTTCTGTGTTCTGCAGGGGGAGGCAGGGTTGTTTCACAGGTTTCTAACAGCTTGATTCTATCATTTTTTCAGGAGTTCTCTGGTGACTTCAGCTGGCTTGGAAAGTCAGGGAAGAACACCATCTCCTTCTCCCCCTTACAGCAGTTCTCCTAGCCCCTCCAGGTAAGAAGGACTATTCCGTTGTGACTATTAAACTTTTATTATTTAAACTGCCATTGACTTCTAGGATAGGAAGAGATATTGGTGTGCTGAGCAAGTTCCACATCTGTCCTTTAATTAAAGGGTAACAAGAACAACCTAGGAGAAACGTCCCTTGTCTGTGAAACGTGATTGCATAAACTCTAGAGCTTGAAGCTTTAGGGTATGTACTTGGTTTACAGGGAGCTGGCAGGCTTGCTTCCAACCTCATTCTTGTCTGCTGAGGAAGCAAGACACCTTTCTTCTTCTGTTCTGTCTATATGGTGGCTTTTGAAGGAGGAGAGTTGGAAGGGAATTCACACTCGGGGAGGAGGAAGACCCTAAAATCTTACTTAGAAAGAAAATGTAGTCCCAGTCTGTGTTGAACATGCTGTCACATAAACAGAGCCCAGAAAATGACAAAACATAGCCTGAAAGTATACAAATATAAAGGAGAAGAATATAGCTCAAAGCCTTGCTGACGTGATCAGATTAATTGGCAGACATATACCACAGTGTGGAGTATAATTGCATGAGACTTCTTATGCCATTACCTGCTAAGCTTTTTAACAGCTTATTCTGAATAAACTGATTCCTTTGCATTCTGGGGATCAGTCCTTATTAAAGGATTTGGCCTTGTTTCTGGAAGGCAGTGAGTGGAAATTCATGGATGTTCACTTCAGTTGCTGCCTTCCCTTCACCAAACTGGCCTCAAATTCTGGGGGATCACAAGGTAGAAAGTCACTGCCGATGGCTGTATTTCTGCTCTTCCTATCTTTTCTGTTGTAGAGCTCCTTCCCACTTTTTTTTGTCTGCTTTAAAGAAAGACTGAGGCACTGCTTCCAAATGTGCCCAGGATGGGAAATAAAACTTAAATAACTAATTTCTGCAGCAGCCACTCTGAATCTGCAGTGCAAAAACGTGATCTTTGAACTGCTGCTGGCCAGCCATGTCTGTGTTATTAGCATGATTTTCAGTGCTCTTCACCATGAATTTCATGTGGCCCACTGGTTCAGCAGTTGGCTTCACTGGTGCAGAAAACTCCTGGTTTTCTCTCCCTCTGCCTTTCGTGCAGGCAGCAGTTCTCCCTTTTCATGTGTGGCTCTAGGCTAGCAAGCTGTGCTTGGATGTAGTCCAAGTAGGACAGAAAGCAGAGTCTGTGGCAGGCAATGGGCTTTCCTCAGCATATCACGATATACTGTAGAACAGCTCTCCTCATTAGGATTAGGTATAATTAAAATATGCTGACAGTTTGAGCTTTTTCTTTTTTAAAAACACTTCCATGTTGAAGATCTTTAATAAGTCTAACCGAAGGTACTTCCTTTATGTATTCCACACCAATGGGTTAATGCCATTTTCAAAGAGCTTTTAATTGCTGCCAAGTAATTAAACTCCCTGTTTCAGGTTTATCTCTTTGTCTTTGCAAATTTATGGTCGATTGCAGTCTTTGAGGCTTGAGGCCAATTAACAGATTTAGTCTGTCAGCTAATTTGGGTGCTTTCTTTTGCAGCTTGCACCTTGTGTAGGACATCTGGCTCCTATAGGAACTTGTATGACCTTTGGGGATAGGGAGAATCCTTTCACCCCAAATCTTCTTTTCCCTTAAAGGATTTTGGCCAGATTGAAATTTGTTTGGAATTTGTGTCAAAAGTCAGGATGTATGCAAAGAATGCCATCAGCCCTCAGATCTATTGGTTAAAGCTGTTCACTGTGTCTGTCTGACTCCGTGCCTTATGCTGGTGGAAAGCAGCGACAACAAAAGCTCACTTTGCCACTTGGAATTGGAAACTTTTAATGCCTTTATTTTACTGTATGCACCGAGAGGCAGCAAGGCTTCCATGCCCTGTTTTCGAAGCAGATAGCAAGGGGTAAGTTTGTTCTCTGGTGAGAGAAGTAAGAACAAACAAGGAAGAATATGTACGACTTAAAAAAATAAAAATAAAAGGCCTGTTGAGAAAGGGAGAGAAATCAGAATCACTTGTTTCAGTTAATTGGTGACTTTGTGATTGAGCGAAGTGTTGTCTTGGGCACAGTGCAGAGGGTGGCAGTCACAAGCCTGCAGATCAGCTTTGTTGAACACTGTACCCATAAGCCACAAAGAACTGCTGACATTCTCCAAAAAAGAAATTCTGTTGTTTGGCAGTTCATACTATCAAAACACAAATTCTTCTCTCTTCCCAAATGCACATATGTATGTTCTTGCTGGATTTACATGTCTGTTTTCATCTTCATCTCATGTAAAACACCTCCTTCCTGAGATCTAGACCTGAAGTTATGCCTCCTACTTCTGAGGGGCACACACAGGTGTGTTGTACATTGACAACGTGGAATACTGTAGAAGCCTTCATTACCAATAAGATCTTTATGTAATTGTGCAACCACCCTGCAAAGTGGCAGTTGTAAATGACATTGCCATGGCAATTACTCCTAGGATACTGGAGCCTTTGGGAAAAGACTTTAGGCAGCTACTTAGTTAAATGTGATGTTCGCGTGGGTTTTGTGTTGCGTGTTTTTTATGGAGTTGCATACAGGTTAAGAGCAACAGAAAAACTGTCACCTGGGGGAACAGATAGCAGGCATGAGCTTGTTAACCTGCTTGGATGGAAATGGAAGGAAGTCTGAAGTTTGCAGAATGAGCCTATCCATTTCTGTGGATGTGATGTTCTTGCTGACCTGGATGGGCGTAGAGATACTGGCTCCTGTCCCCTGGATTTATTCTCTCCTGAGTTGCTTTCTTCACCCTGCAGTTAACTTGCAAATACACTGATACGCTCTTAGAAATGTGTTTTCTTCATGATATGTCAAGACTTTCAAAGAAGTACCACCACAGCATGGTGCCTCTTGGCACCAAAGTCTTTGGTGGTGTCTTGTGTCAGCCACAAGCATTCGGCCTTTGTTCAATTATGTGCTCTTTGGCTGTGGATCTGAGGCTGTAGGAAACTGGGCCAATTGTGGCCTGAAATAACAGGGCTCCCATTTTCCTGAAGGGAGCGGTGTGCTTGGGTGTGTGTTTTAACTGTGGGTGGGAATCAAGTTGGAAGAAAGGTGCCTGCTTCCAGGAGGTGTGCGGTGCCGTTTCCCATTCATACAGCTTTGAACTGCCTCCCAGGATAAACCCACAACCTGAGAGAGCAAAATGGACACTCCCCGTGTGTGGTTGCCTTATAAAGATAATAGCTCCAATTACCTGCCTGAAGGTCCACCTCTTACAAGAGACTTTGTCTCCTTTCAACAGCCGGCCAGGTCAGTTTTCCAGCAGCAAATACGGACACTCTGTGCCCATCCCGGTTCCAACTCAAATTCATAACTACCGTCGGATAGAGCAGAACCTGCAGTCTCCCCACCAGTACGCCTCTCCTCGGTGAGTGCTGGGGCTGGGGCTGAGGGCTGACGTCAGTGTATTACACTCTGTCACATCTAGGGGTTCTTTTATGGTTTGTTCTCTGTATCTCTAGAAGTTTTCAACATCTGTCACAATGTTGAAATTTATTTGTTGCCAAGTACTGTAAATTTTGTCTATATATGTATATGCGAGACAGTTCCCTTAAGTTTTCTGTGCAGACTGAAAGCCCTTTGGGGTCTGACTGCTTTTCCTACGGTTTTGGTGTCCAAACAAGGACAGTCATTCGTGTGGCACATTTCTCTATAAAAGGCAAAAGCTGAGGTAAACAGCTAAAATGGGTAGGGATGCAGAACTTACCTGACTTGAGCTTAATTGGTTCCTGTGGCTAATCACACCATTGATGACGCCTCTTACACGAGTTGCATGGCACTGTGGTTATGCAGTCTGATTAAGTTGTGAGCAATCTCTGCCTGTGAGGCAGAGCATGCTTTATGAGGGTCCTCAGGAAGAGCTGGATGTCAGCCTTCAGCCGTGCTCAGGAGTAATGTCTTGTACCTTCAAGAAATGCCAGGCTTTTGCCTCTTGACGTGTGTAATTGATGATTCCTATGGTTTTGAGATCTGGGTTAACAGTGGCAGCCCAGGCCATGGACTAGTTGGAAGGAGAATTGCACAGGATCTTGAAAACTTTGTGCAGCGAGGGCAGAGAGTATTCACAGTTTCTGAATTAGTTCAAGTTTAGCTGTCAGAAATAGGGTAATGCCTATGCGAGCCTGAATTTGGGCTTCTATCAGCTTAATTTAGGGTAAGGCTTACTTGAAGTTCGCCAGAAATGAAGGCAAGTGTTGATCTACAGTGTGTATTGACCAAGATGTTTGTTTTCTGCCAGTGTTACTTTAGTACTGTTCTACTCTCAGTTATTTGAATGTGTGATGGTTTGGCTTCCAGTTCCCTTCATGCCCTGTAATTCATATTGCAAAGCTTATGACAGGCTGCTGAGACCAGGCTCAGCCTGCGACTGCCTGTCTGGGGCCAAACTCCTGTTTTGCTCCTTTTAGTCAGCACTGTGTAATGGTGTGATTAGCACTGTCCCTGCAGAGGAACTCGAGGAATGGAGCCAATCAGATGATTCATGCTCTGCTTTTAGCATCACCTCCGAATCTCTGGCGTCATGTTTTTCTGCCCCAGGAAGCCATATTTATCTCTCATCATCACTTCCTCTAATCAGCAAATTCATTAGACATGCTTCAAGAATGGAAGAAGAAAATTTCATCGAGCATTTTGTATGTCATTCCACTTTTCCATCAGCTGTATCAAACAGGTTATTCCAGCCGAATGACTTGTCATGTTTGGAACTCATTTGACTAAAAACCTTGGCCTACACTCAGATTCTGAAATATCGACCACTGTCATCTGACTGGTTGGTGATGCCTGTGTGGCACAGCTTGTTTGTGGTCAGGTATCTTGCCTATTGAGGTGGTAATTATGTGTGTTTACTTCTGACCACATCACCTGTCCCGTTCATCTACTTACAGGGCAGTATTAACATTCCACATCTTTCAGCAGCTTCAATCAGCTCCTGTTTTTTTTCCTGCACATTCACAACAGATAATATTTAGCCTCCTGGATGGTTGATATTTTGAAGAGTTGAAAACTTGGCAGAACAATCAATACCTTCTTTCTGCCACTGAGTGTCCAGGTGTCTGCTTCCTTTTTGTGCATTCAATTTTGTTTCAGGACAGGGTACTTAATGAGTGTTACACCTCTAAATCTGGAGCAACCTGAGCAGAAGTGATTTTTAGGTTAAATTTTTTAAGGATTTCCTTTTTTTTTCCTTCTTTTTTTCCTAGCATGTGAATATAGTGTGGATGTGTTTGACTGAAAAACAGTAAAAGATTAGAGTGAGGATGGGGAGGAAGAATGGAGAAGAAATCACTCTTACCTCTATTACTGTTGTTGTTTTCTTCCCTGAAACATGACATCAAGTAACACATATACCTGGTAGTGCTGTTGAATAGATTTATTGACAGTTCATCAGAGCAACTTTGCCTCTGCAGTTAGCCCTGCTTGTACTACTGAAACCTGGCTTTGTTCCTGCTGTTCAGAGGCGTGTGGGCAGCTTAATACTGCTTTGCTGGGATGGGAAAGAGGGTACCTTGGTGATAGCATCCTTCAGTGACTTGAGCAGAGGTTTTCTTTTTCAGTGTATTCATTGATTCCTCTCCAGAACACCACCTACTGGCTGTGACTGAGGTCCTTTCAGCAATGGAAAAAACTGTTTCTAAATCAAGAGTAGAATAAAGTATTTGATGAAAAGCTGTTTTCTCATATAGAGGCATGTAATGGGAATCTTGGTGAAAGGAGCTTGCAGTGATAGATCAGCATTTCAGTAGATAGGATTTAGGCTGTGCTCTTTGAGGTGTGATGACACCGTTCAAAATTGAGGAGTAGTATACTCACATCCCGTTTTTCTCCAGAGGGATGGTGTGGCTCTATTCACATTCTCCTGTTCTACTTTCCTCTTGTTTCTTTTTAGGCTAGGTATACTTGAGGTTCTTGCATGTGTGGCACAAACAACTTGATTTGAATTCTCCAAGGAGAGGTTTCATAAGATGTTACAGGAGTTTGGCACCCAGGCAGTACTGACCATTCCAGCCCAAAGAAAAACTCCTCTGGGTGTGATCTGTATTTGTGTAGTCCTGGCACAGTGCGATTTTGATCCAGAATAAGCAATCATGAAGCTCCAAGTCTGTGGAAATAGCACTGTGTGTTTGAGTGTGTGGTTATGGTGTTTTCCTTACTCCTCTTTATTAGCAACTGGAGTAATGTGTATTTTGTTTCCTGCAAGGTCTGGTACGGTCCGGAGATCTAGCAGTACAAGCCCTCTTGGTTTTCCTAAAACTGGTGCTTCCCCTCCTTATCCTGGAGACCATGGATCTGTGCCTAGCTCTAGAAAGCTTTCCTTTGGTGGTGCCAAGCCATTTATGCCATCACCACAAGGTAAGGTGTCAACTGGCACATTTCTGCTCTAATACAATCATGTCTCTTTCCTGCAAAGAGGAGGTTTTGGCCGGGTTATAGCTGTCAGGTAACTGGGAGTTCAGATGGTTGTATTCTCCTGTGACTCTTCTTGGTAGACCAACAAGTGTTTTGGCCTTGGTAAAATGGAGCTGAAAATGCCTATTAGCTTCAGGAGAGGTAAGCAGTGTTCTAGTGTCTGTGTGAAACGTTGCTGTCCTCTGCAGAGGGCTTTTCTAGGGACAGAGTATCTTTTTACCAGTTTGGGCTGGAGTGAGGAAAAACATGATCCAAGTGCTGTCAGAGGCTCTAGAAGTGCTTGAAACTTCAGTGCTCCTAATGAAAAGTGGCTGTATGAATGTTCATACCTTAGCCCTCTGAGTTAATTTGTCTGTGTGAAGTCAGACTAGACTTGGCTAAACGAGTACTAGCTAGAACTTTTCTCCTTATTTTACTATACAACCATGGCTGAGATGGGAGAGATAAGCACCACCCTTTTAAAAATAGGTGGCAAGTAGTGTTGTTTACTGTGGGAACTTAATACCAAATAAACTTTTTGATTGTGTTAAAGTTGGAACGATCCCGGAGCAGCCCAGCCAGACTGTTATCCCCTCTTCTCTTGGGGCAGAAGTGAGAAGTCGGATTCCTGCAGTTGGTACGTTGGTCCTTGCTTTCCTTCATGACTCTTGTGGACAAGGCCAGAGCCATAATCTGAGAGCTTTCAGTGTGGGGTGTGTTCCTTCAGCATCTTCTCTTGATGCTTGGCCACCAGGATTTGTGTGCGCTGGTAGGAGTCAGAATTGATCCATTCACATTCTGACATCCATCTTCTAGTGCTGACAGATCTTGCGACACACAAACTCTCACTGGGACAAACTCACTCATGGGACATTGCAGTTAATTGAGTTGAGTGGAGGAAAACCATCTCAAAGCTCCAGACTCTTCTTTTGCCTTGTTGCCTGTTCAGTGTTTAATTTCCTTTGTAATGGCTGCAGTAAAGGGAGGAAACTACATTTCTATGTCCCTGTTGTTCCTTCTGTTCTTCCTGTGGAGTCAAAACCCAGTCAGGCATAGAAGTTTTATGGCACAGAGTGCCATCTTTATCCATTAATTGAAGGCTTTGATCTGTAGATGCCTGGTACAAATTTACCTTCTTGGGTGTCTTATCAATGAATCTTGTGATCAATCTGACATTTTCTTTTAGAACCAGAAAATGATGTGATTTGTCACTGTGTTTGGGCCTCCAGGTGCCTCAGCACCCGAACATTCTCCTCGAGGGATGGGCTCTCGGCTCCACAGTGCTCCCAACTTGTCAGATTTGCATTCCTGCAGGCAGAAGATAACCAAGCAGCACTCTGATCCTCTAGTTGCTCACTTTGGCCATACCCCAGTCAGCCAACCTCTGCAGATTCATGGCCTGCAGCACTGCCGGCAGCTCAGATCCTCACCAAAGCTGTCTGAGTTCATGCAGAGAAGCCCATTGCCAACTATCGTGGGCTCCCCTACAAAGGTAAATCAAGGAGTCTGCTTTTGGGTTTTTCATGGCTTGAGCTGTTGTGTTTTTTCAGGGTGAACCACTGTATGATCTCTGACCTGGATTTATCACCACTTATTCACTATTCTCCAAGGGCTGCTTAATAATTTGTGTGAAATGTGGTGGTGTCCTAATTCTTCTCACTTGGCAGCAGTGTTTGCAGTCTGAGTAGAGTCCAGGGTTCTAAACAGGCAATGAAAAGGAGCTGACCAGATTAGGACAGAAGCGCATTAGTGAACTGCAGTGTCAGGGTTGATTTGCACGTCAAGGCTTTTGACACAAATGTGCATGCAGTAGAAATCCCAGCAGAGACAGCAGGCTGTTGGATGGGTGGCAGCCCTCGCATCTGATGTGAAGCTGGTGCTGGGACAGCATTTTCTCTGTGCTTTTATTAAGCTGCAATGAATTTTCAGCAGTTTGTTGTCCTTTCATTTTAGCATTTTTGAGACAGGGAACAAGTAATTATGTGGGCTGGGATTTCTACCTCTTCATTTCAGACATGTTTTTTATGTGTACAATTTAATTTTGATAAATAAATGAAGGATGAGGGAACCTTTGGTTTTAAAACATTCTCTTTGTGCTCTCTTTCTCCTAGGCTGTGTCCCCTTTTGAGTTTCCCAAAACCCCAAGTTCCCAGAACCTTCTCACTCTCTTGGCCCATCAGGGGGTCATGATGACTCCAACGCGGAACAGGACCCTGCCAGATCTGAAGGAGATGGGTCACTTCCACTGCCAGCAGACTGGCTTGGGGTTGAGGCCTGTGGAGGAGATCAAGGGCAGGTGAGCTGTAGTCTGCTTTGTACACAGTGGATTTTCCTTCCCTAACATGGGATGGACGGGGCAAATCTCAAATGTCAGCTATTTCAATCATCATGTATCTGCAAGCATTCTGCAGTCGTCTCCTAGCACCACTGGGATGCAAGCAGATGTTATGCAGATTTTTTAAAGACTTTTCTCTACAGGGGCAGGCCATGGCCTAGATTTTATGACATGAAAGATTGCTTGCAGCTTTACACTGTTACTGCCCAAGGTTCCATCAAGTGGGGATCAAGGCTCTGGTTATTAGAGCAGGCTCCCTGCAATTATGCAAATGTGTGCTTTATTCTTTTTGAAGCGTGCGCCTGTCATAAGTGAGAGGTGTGTGTTCCTTGTCTATCACACAGTGGGCACAGGTCTTCAAAGATCTGTTTGAAAGCCAGGTACTGACTGTTGTGAACGTTGCAGGATACAGGGTTGCTCAGGTGTTAGCATTAAGTTTTTCTTACCTGCCTCTGCGTATTTCTTGTATTAATTTCCATATCTTCCATCAAAGGAAAACTATGCTACAATAATGCTGTACTCTGTACTTGCATACTGTAAGTCATGGTAATCATAAGCTTTCTGCAGGTAACAGGAGGTGCTTCAGATACTCTGTTGGAGGAGGAATAGGGCTAGTGGTTTTTTCAGTTCTGGACTATTTGCTGTGTAGTGTTTGTGGACCAGCAATGGCACAAACTAACTGAAACCCATGAACCTTACTGGTGAGTTTCTGCATCATCTTGTACGTTCTCCTTTTAGATCTCTAAGCACAGGCAGGCTCACTGACCTGCTTCTCAAGGCAGCCTTTGGGGCACAGATCTCAGAAGCTGGCAGCAATGACAGCCTGAACAGCGAGAAGCCAATGGAAGTTGCAGGTAAGTGGGGAGAACGGGCAGATTTGACAGGATGGGCTTGTGCTGGGGGAAGGTGTTTGCCTGCATGCCTCCTATGAAAAGGAGGCTTCTTTTCTGATGGCTTTTGCTGTAGGAAATGACTGCTGTGTGTGAGGAGTGCTGTGATGCTTTCTTTCTTTTGTGAGCGCTCGAAGGCTTGTGGCTTTATGCGTGCTGTGTAATTGCTGGCTAGCAGTGTGATTTTGTAGGCAGGGCTTCCTCTCTTGGCCCCTTCTGAATGAGATATCATGTGGAAGTGGGGACTTTCTGCCAGGCAGTTTGACTATGAATGACTCTGCAAGGGTGGGTCTTCCTGCGTGTGCAGGTTGGGAAGTGAGGAGGGAAGAACAGCTGCAGGACCATGTAACGCTGCCCAGGCTCACGTCCTGCTGTCCGTGCCAGCCTGCCTGGCTGTGGGATGCTTCCACAGGGAGCGCTGGCCTGTGCTGGTAGCCACCATCTCCTGAGAGAGTCTGCAGGGACGTAACACCGCTGGGTGAGGCACACCGTGCTCCGAGTAACTTTCCTGTAATGTCAGTCTGCACCTTTCAACTGTCTCCCCAGCTCCCTCAGGTGCTTACGGAGGGACACTGCACTCTGGTGCCCGGGCGGGGGGCTCTGCCAGCCCATCCCCAGTGATTTTTACTGTTGGATCCCCTCCCAGTGGAACAACTCCCCCACAGACCACGAGGACCAGGATGTTTTCAGGTAAAGGGCTGATACCTGCCTGTTCCAATATCTGGAGACAGAGCGACGTGCTGTATTCCTCACTGCTGCAAACTGGTGGTGGAAGCAGGCTGTCCAGAGAGAGCTCGGTGGTTTAAATGCCTTTGAGGTTCTTGTACTGGCTCTTGCCAACCCCCAGTTACTGCTCATAACTCTTCATGCTGGCACAAGGACTAACGCCTTATAAGAGTTTCCAAGACTGGAAGAGGGAAGCAAACTGTTCCTTTTGCTTCATTTCTGTTTGCTTCAGGAATAATGCTGCAGCTGTTCACAGATCCATTGCTGTTGGTAGGTCAACAGAGATAAAGATTGCTCTGTATTCTGATGGTTTTCCTCCTAGGTTTCAGATAAGTTATAAAAGGCAAGTGTGACCATTCATGAGAAGCAGTTTCAGTGCATGAGTACCATTACGAAAGGGCTCTGTATGCAAAAGTACAAGTGGTGTTACTTATGCTGTGAATTACTTAAGTAGGAAATGGGGAAGTGCAGTCCTGATTGACAGATCCTTTAAGATGCCAGCACTCTGGCCTCATCAGCCAACAGCTGAGGCTGCAGTAATTGTCCATTTTGGGGCCATGTGTCTGGGAGCTGGAATCTGTAATCAAGAAACTATTTGGATACTTCTATCTGCATTTTTGGCTGGTTTCAGTTCTTGTCCTGGCCATTCCTCATCTGAATGTAGTCGAAGCTGTTGTTCTTAATTACTGCAGGGAAGGTTTGGATGCAACTATGAATAAGCTGCTTGACTCAGACTAAGGGGGACTGGGCTCAGTTTCTGGGTATGGCTTGGATTTCCATCATACCTAAAACCACTCCGATCCTTGTCTGGAAGTTGGTTCTGCAATCCTTCTTTTGTCTCCTTTATTTAGAGTGTGAGCTCTGTAGGGCAGGGACTCTCATACAAAGTGGCTGACTGTCCTGTAGCACAATGGGGCTACTATCCTGGCTAGTGCCTCTAGCTGCCACTGAAATGCTGTGAATAGAGAATTCAGTCTTATTTATTGCTTTTGAGTGAATAAGAGCAATCTGGAAGTAGATCCAAGTGCCACTTTGGTGGAGTGATAGTTGGATGTTTAAGGATCTGCTGAGCAGTTAAAATTTCAGATGAAATTCCTGGTAGAGAAGACTATTGAATAGTGAGCCTACAACACATCCAAAGATTTGGGTAAAGGCACTCAAAGCTGCTTGACAAGCTTTATTTATTAGATCTTTGCAATAGCTCCTTGTGTTATAGTTAATGCATAAAAGTAGATGGTGAAAAAGGGAGCTTTGCAAGCTAGAACTCCGCACCCCAAGTGTGTTGACAATCCATGAGTAAGATCACTTGACAGGTACAAAGACAGAGCCGTTTCATGAATCATCACAACAGTTTCTGTGAACAGTTCCACAGAATTACAGGGTATCCAGAATGTGGTGGTGTTGGTCTTTTCCTTTCTCTGAAAGATCTGGAAATACTTTACCAGTCTTTTATGATCCTCACTTAGCTTTGAAGACCTCTGAGAGGAGAGGAGGCAGCACATCACTGCAGTTGTTGAGATGTGCATTGTTTTGCTCAGCCTTTCAAAGTCAGGGTAGGGCAGCAGATGAAGTTTGTGGATAGAAGAGGAAAATGTTCCTCCGGAGGATCAGAGGAGAATTAGTAAAGTGTTAGAGCTGGTATTGGCATCCCCCTGACACATAGAGAATATATCCCTCTGCAGCAGTGTCTCAGGGATACGAAGCCCTCTGGAATTGATGAATGTGTTATCAGTACTCTGAGACAGAAACTTCTTTTTGAAGTGTGCATCTTTTATGAGCAGTATATTCTCAAGGTGGATTCAATTGCTAAGAAAAGAAGAAGACAATGGTGGTGGAATTGGCTGATGAACACAGTACTTAAAGACTCCTGAATCCTGAGGTTAGGATCATGGTTCAGCTGAAATCACCTGCTTTATCCAACCTCCTACTTGTAAAGAGAGGAAAACAGAAGTACAAGGCATGCAACAAAAAGCTCTCCTGGTTTGCATGCAAGTGGCAAATGTTTTAAAACCATGTTTAAAACCTCACTTATCAGAGGTACTCATTCATTGACAGTATTAAAGCTTTGGGACCAGGGTTCAAATTGTGCTGATCCATGATGAGGCTGAAGCTGATGATGGTGGTGTATGATAAATTCAGCTCAAGGTATTGTGGCAGGGTTCAGAAGAGATTTGAGGGAGAAAAAAAGGTGCTTCTGGGCTTGTCACCATAAATCACTGGCAGTCAGAAAGGTGTGTTAAATTTGCTTGAGCTTGTAAACTGGTCTTCCTGAGTCACTGAGGATCTTGCATGTGGTGTGGTTATTTTGCATCACGAATCTTTGTATCTTCCTCTAGAGTACCTGTTGCTGGCTCCTACCAGAGCCAGGATCCTGGATCCTACAGTGACAAGCATCCCCTGTGCTGGGCGAGAAATAACTCGCCTATTATAAATATCTTAAGTAATTCCTTTCTTTCTTTTTTTCAGTGGGGTCTTCCAGCTCTCTCAGTTCTGGAGGCTCATTCACTGGCAGGCACTTGGCAGTGGGAACTGGTGGGGATGCTCTGGAGGGCCCTTCGAGTCTCCGCTATGCTTTTGCTGATCCAATCACCGCTAACCTGGAAGGTGCTGTTACATTCGAGGCACCAGAGCTGCCTGAAGAGACGCTCATGGAGGTAGGTATATCTTATAGGGACTTGTTAGGGGCAAAGGACAGGGAACAATAAAAGGAAAGTGTACCCAAAGGTTCTCTGGCTCCACATTTGTAGCCAAGGCAGTCACTTCCAAAGACGGTGTGAACTGGCTTCAGGAGAGCTGGGCGAGACAGTGCTCAGAAGATTCAGGACATGCGTAGTGCACTGGTTTTTGAGCCTGCTGTTGAGCTTTTTAGTCCTTGAGACGTGATTTCAAAAGCTGAAATTGCAGGTTGGAAGTGTCGGTTACCTGGTGTGTTCTGCATCGGAGTTTCTGAAGAGAACTGGGACACTTTGGGCCTTTTCCCTTTTAAAAGGCTCAGTGTTAGTAATAGCTGACCTGAGAGAGTGAGTAGCTTGGGCATATCAAATGCCTGCCTGCTGCATGCACTTATAGAGTCAGTCAGTGATACAGCCTCAGTTGAAAGGGTCTGAAAAAAGTGAACGTGACACTTATGTTGGTGATGGGGGGAAGTGGAACGTGACATGCTTTGCACAAGAACAGCTGAACCAGATTGCTGAGCTGAAAGACTGCCAGACTCCCCTTCTCTGCAGGCTGAAGGCTGGCTGAAGCAGAACAAATGCTTTTGTAGCTGAGATATAGTTGAAATGTAGGTCAGGGTGCCCATTTGCAGGAGAGGTGGGAGACTGAATCAGTCATGGATTCAGTGCTATTTGTAATGCTTTCTTGGACTGCCTAGGACTGGGAAAGGCTCTTTGCATTGGAATCTTGCTGGTGTTTCAAAAACCACTTGGATACCTGCTGACATCTGCATGCATTGTTTGTAGAGTGTGGGTTTGCTCTTCTGCTTCAGATTTCTAGCTCAAATTTTTTGTCAATTATGCATTGAATTGCATTAATTTGCTCAATTAGCTGCAGAGCTACAAGGCTATAACTTAAACATTGATGCATAACAGCAGTAGTGAATTTAACTGAGCATACTGTCTTTGTGAAGTCCAAGTAATATGGGTCCCTGCCAGCTGTCACTGCTCTTCAGGATCTGAAGGGTTCTAAAGAAGTATCAGCCTGATCTTAATCCCATTTAGTTCAGCTTCTCATTTCTATAATGAGTCATTTGGGTTTGATCACAATTTCTGCTGGGTGCAGCAGCCATTCACACGCACTTCACAAAACCTTCCTGACACTGAACCTTTTTGGCATTTTTGGAGACCCCTTTGTGCTCTGCAGAGTCAGCCAGAACTGAAACCTGGCAGATCTGCTTTCTGCTGATGCTTTCATGGCAATGAAGTCTTGCTATTTAAGCACCTCTATTTGTGTTGAGAAGAGCTGTTGCATTCAGATAGGTGGTGGTTTCTTTCATCATTTGAAAATGTTTCCTGAAGTACAGGCAAGGCAAATTGAAGGTTTTTGTTGTTTTGCAGTGCTTTAAGGGCACAATACAGAGATGGCTTTGGAAGGCAAGACTATTGTGATGCCTAATGAGACCAGAAATGCCAGTGTAGTTAATGCAAGCTAACTATATAAGCAAAGGGAGGGACTGTACATTAGTTGGAGATATGAGGCTGAGGTTTGCAAGATCTTAGAAGATTCCTGCTCTGCCACAAGATTCTTGTATGACTTGGCAGCTACTTAATCTCCAAGTTCCTCCTCTGCTTTGAAAGAAAATAGAGGAAGGCAGAGATAACACTTCCTTGCCTTACTGGACTGTCCAGATAGCAAGATAGCAGAGGAGAGATTAATGTTTCAGATAGCCAAAGCTCCTTTGGCAGCCAAGTGCCTGAGATGGTGAATGAAAAACATAAAGCATGTTTTTTTTATGTGTGTGTTTGGTTGGCTACCGTTCCTTCATAGTCACATTTGAAACAGCCTCACCAAGCCCCTGTAAGAGAACCATTCCTGTAAATATTTGAAGGTCAAGCATGTTAGCTGCTTTACTACACAGAGTACACACAGCATCTGATGCAGGCAGCGATTCATTTTGTAGGACACACAGCTGTTCAGTTTTTCCACAAATACTGATTTCCCAAAAATGTTTGCTATGATTTAAGCAATACAGCTTCTGAGAAATGGGATAATACCCTTTGGTCTGTAATAGCAGAGAGAAAACAGCTTTGAAGTGGATGTAGTGCTTTGAGGGTGCATCTCTCCCCTCACCAGCTGAGAGGAGCTGCAGTTAAAGGCTGTCCTTGCTGTCCCTTCAGAGGACCTCACCCAGGGCTCCCTGCGCTGGGCTGGGAGCAGCTGGAGACACAGCTAAGCAAGGGCTGGGGTGTGGGATGGGCCACACTGTTAGCAGGTTTTTGTGTTGTAAGGGGTGGTCACTCTCACATAAATTGCACACTGGTTTCAGTTTTGTACCAGCATGGCTGTGGCGGGGTCTGGATCTGGGCCAGCGGTGCTGTCACCTTTCTGCCTGACTTTCCAAACAGCCCAGAATTGCTGTGAACACTCCTTAGGAAGGCAGCATGTCACTTTTTGAAGCAAGTCTCTCCAGCTTCTGCAGGGACTGGCCTGGGATCTCTGGCTTGGGGCTGTTACTTGCTGCCTTTAATGCAGAGGAGGAACTGGTGCAGTGTGGGCTCAGTGCTGAGTTTGTTTTCCTTGCACAGAAAAGAAGTGTAGGAAGGTTTCAGGCTCCGATGTTATCTCTTTCATTTGGGATGAGTCACTGGCAACAGCTCAATGTGAGCAGCCTTCCCCTTGTAACCCCCCTTGGTGTTCCCTTCAACAGCAAGAGCACACCGACATCCTGCGCAGCCTCCGCTTCACGCTGGCCTTTGTCCACTATGTGATGGAGATTGCTGCCCTGAAAGGCAGCTCCAGCGAGATGAGCGGTTCAGCAGCATCCGAATACCAGCTGCAGGAGAGCGTGGTGGCCGACCAGATCAGCCTGCTCAGCCGGGAGTGGAGGTAAGGGCTGGGCAGAGGGCCTGGAGCTCCGTGCGCGCTGCTCCTCCCTGCCGCGTGTGCCTTTGTGCCAGACATCCTTTGGACCGTACTGCCGCCCTGGTGATCGGTTTGCATTGCAATATGCTCTCTTTGCAGCTATGCAGAGCAGCTCGTGCTGTACCTGAAAGTAGCAGAGCTTCTGTCCTCAGGCCTGCAGACAGCCATAGAGCAGATCAAGGCTGGCAAGCTGTGCCTCTCCTCCACTGTCAAGCAAGGTAAGGAGCTGCTGGGCACACGGTGCAATGAACTTGCCTGGAATGAAAGAGTGAAAACCGTGTCACAGAGGCAGGGAGGAGGTTGAGATGAACACCCAGCAGTATGCGCTCAGGCTTATTGCTCATTGTTCTCTCAAATAGCCAGGCCTTGCTTCTGGGGTATTTTCTGGCAGGAATCTTACTCTCTCAGCCTTTGCTTCAGGTCTTCAACTCCTGCTCATCTCCCTGTGAGAATCTTCAGTCCTAATTAGTGAGAGGGAAATGCATCTTATCTGATTCCTTGTACATCTCTATCTCAGGTGCTTATTTGTACTTGACGTCAGTCCAACTTAATTATATAGTACATGTCCCAGTAAGTGCTTACTTGGCGAATTGAGACACGTCTTGGTTATGATGATTTTTCAAATGAAGCAAAAACACAGGAAGCAAAACTCTGGCAATACAGAAGTCACTTATTTGTTAGTCGTACAGCTTTATGTTTGCATCTGGACAGGTTTAGCTACACTTCTTCCACATGTTCGGGCTGACATAACACAAATTAATTATTCCTTTTCCAGGGCAAATTGCAACTTGTAGGAACAGTTATGCTATGAATCTAGTGTATGGGAACAGGATAAGGCTGTCTTTCCTTATTTCTCTTCCCACAGAATACTGTTCCCTTGAGATTTATAGGGCACTGTGAGGGCAAGAGAGTTCTCAAGGTACTTGAGTGCCTTCTTTCACTTATGTGTGGAAAAAGCTGAAGTGCAACAAGGTATTGTCCCAGAGCATCCTTGGGCAGTGAGTGACAGGCAGAGTCCCTACCCATAGCCATCAGCTTCCTGTAATTTGTGCATAGCCCAGGGCTCTGACTGAATTCCACAAATGACGATGTTCCTTTACTTACTTGTATTTTGTTGTTGTTGTGAGAATGTTCTATTTTTTCATTAAATGTCTTTTTTTACAAATTCTTTCTTGGCTGCCCCTCAGCAGGGCGCTGAGGTTCCTTGACCTCCCCCTAGGAGCAAGTTGTGCAGTGTGGAGGTTTCAGATGTGTGTCACAGTTACTTGCTCATCAGGTGGTGGGAGTTTGTAGCGGGTACATCGTGTAGCAGTACAGCTAGCTTCGCATGCTGTTTGGGGTTGTTATTCAATCCCTTTAAATCATACTTGACGCTTGGTTCTCTGTCACATAATCTTCCTGTCCTAGCTGCTGTGGTGCAGGAAAGGAGCTGACCTTTTGCAGGCATTGGTGTCTTTCCATTCTGGGACAGCATTGTCCCAGGAGAGATTCCTTTGCTTAGTGCTGCTGAGCCACACTTAGCTCCAGCAGCTAGCACATGTGAGTCACGTACTTCTTCACAGCATGTCATCACCCATCAGGTAACAGAAGCTTTGTATCTGGCATGTCTGTTGCTTCTGGTGACGCGTGGGACATCTTGCACCATGCAAACTGTTCTGTGTCTGCTGGCAACTGAAGGAAACAAAAATTGACCTGGCCTCAGGTGAACTAGGCATGCAGGTGTTGCAGTGTGCAGGCTTACAATTGGTCAGGGCGACAAAGGAAAGGGAAAAGACCTCATGGGTGCAGCAGGTACTTCGCTGCCAGTTTTAAGTTTGGATGCAACATAACTTGGTTGCCTTGAAGTTACTTGTTTGGAGGCCTGTGCATGGAGGTTGGGAGTCACAGGGAGAACTGGAGCTGGTGCCCAATGCATTTCTTTCCTTTATTCTAGTTGTGAAGAAGCTCAATGAGCTGTATAAATCTAGTGTTTCATCCTGCCACTGCCTCAACATGAGACTGCAGAGGTTCTTCCTGGACAAACAGAAACTCATGGATCAGATCAACAGCATCACTGCAGAGAAGCTCATCTTCAGCTATGCTGTGCAGATGGTAATAACTGTATAGAGCCAGGGAACAGGGCTAGCACAGAACAAGCACCAAAAATTGACAGTTCCTGCTGGTGGTGTTAGCAGGTGGTTTCGTTCATGGTGCTGGAGGTTGGGTGAGGGAGACTAAGGAACCATGCTGGGAAAGCTGGATCTAGTATGGAAGTGACCTTTTGCATGGGGTTTGCCTGCAGGTGCAGTCTGCAGCCCTGGATGAGATGTTCCACCACAGAGAGGACTGTGCACAGAGATACCACAAGGCTCTGCTGCTGATGGAGGGGCTCCTGAACATCATCACTGAACAGGGGGACATAGAAAACATCAACAAATGTGAGTGCTCGAGGACTTTTTTTTCCCCACCAGGTCATGTCGTGTTGTTCTAGCTGCATGGACCAGAAATTTTAGTACCCAGCATCCCTTTTTTCCTTTGGCTGCATCTGGATGGTCATAGCACAGATCTCTTGATTTGCTTTAGCTCCTAACAGCCTGGCCTCATGCAGCTGTAACAGTTGGAAAACTGTTAGAAACGCAAGTCCCTGAGCCCTGTTTTGCGATCTGTCCTGCAGAGCAATTGTCAGGGTTTTGTTGGAGCTTTTGATGCATGAATGAACATGCTGAAGGAAGTGGTTTGGCAAAGGGCTGGGTTTGGTTTCCATCCGGAACCATCCATCTGATTGCACAGAGCACTTGGGAACATGAAACTGCAGCACCTGTTGGGCAGAGATGGTCAGTCAGCGCAGCTAGGGCTCCTTCCAGCACTTCTTATAAATGGAGCTGCTCACCTGTGTTCCTCAGGCCACGCTAAGAAGGCAGCAGACGAGTATTTTTCTCTTCAGCAATTGATTGTGGTAGCTTGGCTTTTACCTGTCTGCAATTGCTTGGCTTCCTTTTCCAGAGACAGATGGATCCCTCTGCTGCTGTCACCTCTTCTGCACCCTTCCTTTGTTAAGTGGAGGCTCCACAGCAAATGTGTGCAGAGTGGAAAGGACTGACCTCACTTGCTCAGAGTGAACTTTGCCTGCCCTTCTGGACAGGGCTTAATTGTTTTGGTTTTCTCTCTCAATGGGAGGAAGGCAGAGGGGTGGCAGGCAGCTATTGTCTGTTAGAGCAGCTTGACTTGGCCTCAGCTCTGCTCTGTCACAGCTACACCAGCTCACTGTGGCACTGCAGTGTTGAAACAGCTAAAGGGAAAGGACACAGCTGGCAAGCCGTGCCTCTCCCCCTCTGCTGGCTAGTGAATGCATTTCTTGGGCCAGCATCCAAAGTGCTGCCAGACTGCTCCAGTCGTCCTTGTGGACAGAGCTCTTGGGTAGGTAATGAGAGGAGAGATTTCTGGCTCACAGGCAATCAGTCAGTTAATTATCACCAACTTTAACAGTCCACATGAGGCTCACTGAAGGAGAGCAAAAGGAGATTGGCAGGTGCTGTATGATACTGGAGGGCTGAGTGAATAGGGAATACTAAGTAGTTTCTATCATACCATTTCTTAGCAAACCTAAATCACATCTTTTGTGCAGAGATACAGTTAATGCATCTAATGAATTTCTTCTCCCAGTTGATATCCTGGTATTCCCTATTTTACCCGATGTTCCAGCTTCCTGATTGAGTTGTTCTCTGGTAGGCTGTAATGTGTATGCATTTAATTTTAGATCTCAGGTACTTGATGATATTTCTCTGAAAAGGAAAGTGATGTGAACATAGAAATAAAGCAAGTCCTCCTATTGGAGGTGTGAATTCCACCAAATATGCAGCTTTTGACAGAGTGTCAGGCGCAGAAGGTGAGAATCTGCAGTGACTGCTGGGCTGTACCATGCCTTGTATGAATTGCTGGCGGTGGATGATAGTCCTTTGGAACAGTTTGATAACACGGTCAGAACTCACAGCTCACAGCTTTCCTTCTTGGCTCTCTATTCATCTCTTTGTTCTGTCCCTTCCCAGCATGACGTCTGTGGTTGTCCTCACCTAGTCTAAATCAGTACATGGTAATGGTTCTGGACGGGCTGCTTAGCCTTGCTAAAATACAGTTGTTTTTTTGGTTCTCTTTTCCAAATCTCCTTCATATTTCGTCGTTTTTATATTGCCAGGAAAAAAAGAAGTTGATTTCTTGTGTTTTTGTTTTTTTCTTCTCTTAGGTAAACTGTGCATCGAGCGCAGGCTATCAGCTCTGCTGTCGGGGTTCTGCGCCTGATTTGAGTAATGTTCTCCACGCACCTCATCCCAGCTGATCACCTTGTTTCCAATGGCCTGTTGCTGTGGTGGAAACAATTCTGACAGCAGGACACCTGGAGGATGAACTGCTCAATGTTCCGCGTTCTGGCATTTTGGGAAGTTGTTCCACAGTCTTAGATTCTTTTGTGGGGGCTGTGTGACTGTAGAAGCACGAATGCTTCCCTGTCCAAAGGCCTGGACGAAGACGAAGCTGATGTGGAAATTTTCGCTCATCGGCAGCAGGGATGAAGGATAGCAGTCTGCTTCTTCCCAGCACTTCGAAGGATAAGACTGCTGCCTGTCCACTTGCTTAAGAACAGGGTATTCCAGTGCTGTCTCCATTGCAGGCAATGGATGTGCCTAAACTGCTGGCTTCAGTTAATGTTGGAGGCTGTCGTTCAGAAATTAAGGCCAGTTTGTGTACTTCCCCCTACCCAGCTGACAGCCGGGCACCTTCAAGCTTCCTGACAGCCCCGGGCTCCCCGCCTGTCTCCTTCATCCCGTCTCACACACGCTGAAGCCTTGGAGTGTGCGCAGAGCCGAAAGGAAGGAAGCTGCGCTTCGCCTGAGCGTGGCTGAAGTCACGGCTGCCTTCTGCAGATGCATTGAGCGAGGCTGGGAGCGGGTTGTCTGGGATGTTCAGATCTCTGTGGCTGTCGCCTGGGCTGCCTCTGTCTGCGGGTGGACAAACGGCGCAGGGAAAGAGACTGCACAGAAAGCAGGAAGGCGACAGGAAGCGTGACTTCCCTGTCTTTCTCAGAAGCCAAAACGAATCCGTTCCTCCCTTGTTCCCCGAGCTCAATGGGGTCAGCATTAAAGATTCCTGGCTGTCAGTTCAGCCCGTCAGTACATATCCACCACAAGGGAGCAGTAGCGCTGTCCTGCTTTCAGCTGTTGGCTTGAGACCCTTCCCAGAGCCCTCACCCTGAACTGAGAACACTAGCTTTGTGAATCAAAGGAGCACTTTACACACTATGGGAACTTTCAGAAGTTGACTTTGCATCACACAACAACCCAGGAACATCACGACTGTTAGGAATGCTGTTCTTTTTATTCCTTTCCTTGTTTCCTGGTTGTTTTATTGCACTACGTGTGTGCATATATTAATATGTATTCCTGAGGTTGAATATATATTGATATATATGGTTTGTGTGTAACTGTACGTATTTAACTGTACTGTATTTGTGAGTGTGAGGCACTGCGGAGTCTGTGCTGTTCCTCCTCCATACCAGGCAACGCTGACTCGCAGTCTGGCAGTACCAAGATGTTTCTGTCTGTTTGGGTTTTTATTTAAGTGTTCTTTTAAGGACAGTCAGTGTGAAGCTCCGTGCTTTTTAAGAGCTCGAGAACAGGTGTAAGATCCTACACACAATTGGAAATGGATTCTTTTTTTCTTCCTTTTTTTTTTTAAGTTTTATTTGCTGCTTCATTTTTTTTTATAAAGAAATCTGGTAGCGTTCGGTTCAATGTTCAGCATTTCTTTTCAGGAGACTCTGTAGCCAAATGTGACTGCAGGTGTGAGTGGCTCGAGTTCTGGTTGAGGCTTCGGATGCTGTGAGCAGATGTGTGAGAGGATCGCAGCTGCCTTCCGTCTGTCTGCGTGCGCATGTGTGTGTCTTAATTTATCAGTCATGGCAGTATTTTGGTAGCGCTGGGCAGAAAAGGATCTTTGAAAGCAACTCGAAACCTCAGGCTTTGTTTCAGGGGATTTAATAATACTTTGCACACGGTGGTTAAGTCCTCACTGCATTTTTTTTTTCCTCTCGATATTGGCATGTTCAGCGTTGATACTTTACAGTGGTTTCAGGAGCAACTCAATTGGCTTGAGCCGGCATCATCTTTGGCAGTGTGGATGTTTGTGATCACGGAGTAGAAATGCCAAGAAGGAAATTAAGAAACATTTTTGATTCCCCCAACCAGGGAGGCTTAGACATAGCTCACACAGTCAGTATTGGGCCTCTGCTGCATCGTGCATTCGCAGCCCGCCGCTGCCTTCTGCGGCCGCTTCTGCTTGGGCCTGGAGGAAAAAAAAGACAAGGCAAAGAAAACAACAACCGGGAGACGAGACGGCCCCCAGCCTGTGGCCAGAACGGCCGAAGAGACGCGGATCGCTTCCAAAGGGCTCGGGGTTGCGCACAGGGCTGCGCCGCAGGTGGGCACGCGCGCAGCAGGAAGGCGCTCAGCCAGGACTGCCCTGCCGTGCACGCGCCTGCTGCTGCCCTGCGCCCCCTGCAGTCCCACGCCTGCACTGATTGCTTCTAAGGAACGCAGCCCGGGTTCCGTGGTTGTGCCGCAGGTTTCGTGGTCCGTGTACGTGGCAAGCTCAGCACTAACCTTCCAGCTGTACTTAATTACTTGAATGTATCAGAATTGTCCACATTCAGTGTACACGAATATATATTGCTCCAAAAAATCGTGGTTTACAGCCCTGCAACCGAGATAGATATATGTGTGTTTGTGTATATACATACAAGCTGTGTGTGTGTGTATGCATAGTATGCACACAAACGCAAACGTGTATATATGTTTTCTCTCAATACTTGAAACTTAGCCACTGTGCTTGAATTTAAAAAATATATATATAAAAAAAGAAAAACTAGGAAAAAAAGGAAAAAAAAAAAAGAAAAAAAACCAGACAGGTGATTTATTTTGCCATCACTTTGGTGACTTTTATTTTTTATCTAAGTGCATGTAGCGTGAAACCAACTTTTTTTTGGTGGAAAATATTTATTGCTTTGTAGACAACAAGGAATGCAAAAAAAAAAAAAAAAAAGAAAAAAAAAGCAAAAGAAAATCCCCCCAACACTGTTGAAGTTGCTAGCATAGTCCTCTTGCTATTGTCATGGCTTTGTTACTGTTGCAGCGTTTGTGTGTAGCGTCTTAATAGATTTCAAGAAACCTCAGCCTAATCACACGTATCTTCAGGTTTGTGAGAGCGTATGATGATGTTCTTTATGAGGTAACGCCCGATACTTTGTCAACGTTTTTTATTTGTGTTTTGTGTGACTTTTTTTTTTTTTTTCTTTCTTGGCTTTAAATTGTACAACGCCGATTTAAGAAATAAAATTGTTTGGAAGTTGTTAGCAGGCTGTTCTCAGTATCTGTGCAGCCCATCGGCAGGGCTCTGGGTGTGCCAGGTAAGGTTTGTGCTTGGCTCAGCCTGCTTAGTGGTGAAGGGGAGGAGCGGGCAGCCACGGAGCATCCATTGAGATGAGTGAGCATCCGTCCTGCTAACGCACCTGTGTGCTGACACTGCTGGAAGGGGTCCTTGTTTTTAATGCATGCAGTGTCTTTCCCTGGGAAAACAACCCACAGCACTCCTCACAGGCAGCAGAGCAAAGGGAGAAAGCGCTGACTGGGAAGACTGAGCAACAGAACAGAATAGCAGCTCTGAACCGTGAGGCTGCAATGATTTAAAAGCCACGGTGCAAACAGCAGAGCTTTCTGCACGTTCACTGTGATGTTCTGTTGCTGCTGATGCCAGAAGAAAACAATCCCAAGCAATTCTCAGTGCGTCTGCCTTTGTTCCCACATTATATTTAGCAGCTGGAAGGACGTCAGCAGCGCTGCTCCCTGGGCAGCCAGCAGTCAGATCTTGCCTGGTGACATCAAGGAAGCAGAACTGGGCGGATGTGCTTTAAACCACGGCGATAACATCGAGTGTTCCACTTACAGATACCAACTCCTGTCTTTTTGACTCAACCTTTGCAGAACCAACATTCCTCGGCCGCCAGACCTTCTGGGCACAGCGGCAGCTCTGGATGTCACTGAATTTCTCCTTGTTCCTCATCTGCCTGTCTGAAAACACGCTGTTAAAAAAGGACTGAATGAAAACTTTCCTGTGTAGGGAGCATTCAGACCCCCTGCGAGGAATGTGCTCCGAACCCCATCTGGCAGCTCTGCGGGCTGCGTTCCAAAGTAGCACTGCTGGCAGCTCATCAGTTCCACATCGCTGCAGAACCTGAGGGCAAAACCAGACGTTCCTCCAAACGTTTCCTCCAGCTTTAGCTGCCCCGACTCCAGCTGTTGTGCTTAACTGAGTAAAACGCCGACATCCCCAGCGCTACTTGCCGGCGCCAGCGCTCTCCACGTCCCGAGGCCGGCTGCACTGCAGGCGCGGGGTCGGGCAGGGCTCAGGGCAGGGCGGCAGATCACAGAGCTCCATCTGCCCGTCTGGGAGCAGACGAAGCACGTCGCTTTGTGAGCGCTGACGTATGAGCCACTGCGTGCCCTACAGGCCGGCACCTTCCTCCAGCTAGGAGGGGTGGTGCAGCCCCCTCTACCGACACCGTGCCCGTGCCCCTTACCCTCCCTGTCTGGGGTCGTCGGCCACGAACCGCCCGGCGCTGCAGGACCTGCCGGGCACGGGCGCGCAGCAGGACGGCGCAGCCGCAGCACCGCCCCCTCCCGGCCGCCGTATCGCCGCACGCGCGGTGCTCCGTAAGTGGCGGCGGGGCCGGGCGGATGCTGGCGCTTCGCTGGGGGCTGCGCGCTGCGAGCGGAGGGTTCCGACCGCGGAACGTGCGTGGGGAGCGCGGGGGAGAGAAGGGGGGGATCCGCACCGCTGCTGCGCCGCCCCGCCGCCGCTCTGACCCGCAGCCTTCTCCGTCCGTGCAGGAGCTGCTCGCCATGGCGAAGAGGCCGAGCGGGGCCGGCGAGGGACCGGAGGAGAACGGGCAGCAGGGCAAGAGACTGAAGGGAACCGCGCATGAAGGGGATGCGGAGGAGCAGAGTAAAAGGACGCCCAAAAGGAAGATTGTGTTGTTGATGGCGTACTCGGGGAAAGGCTACCACGGCATGCAGGTACGGGGTGTGCAGGGGGAGAGGAGGAGGAGGAGACCGGGAGGACGAGGAGCCGCCGGGCGGGGCGCTGGGCTGGGCGGGCAGCCGGTGCAATGAATGGGCTTGGAACCGCAGCCGTTCCACCCCCGCAGCCGTACATCGTCGTTCTGCTTCGTGCTTTCACTTCCAGAAAACTCCACTGCAGGCAGAGGGGTCAGAAACGCCCCATCTCCTGCAGTGACAGCAAAAGCTGGAGCAGAATGTATGTATTTTCTCAAAGCGCTTTGTTGGAGCTTTGCAGAATAAGTTGGCTTTGTAGGAGCAGCAGCACCTGCCAGACAGGAGGGAAGATGCTATGAATTTCACAGTGATGTTCAATTAACAAAAGTTTTCAGTGACGTCTTTCAGAGCGGTGGCCCAGTAATTACTGCTTGTTTTATTTCTTATTTTCTCTCAGAGAAATCTGGGCTCTTCGCAGTTCAAGACCATCGAAGATGATTTGGTGTCTGCCCTCGTGCAGTCCGGCTGCATCCCAGAAAACCACGGCGAAGACATGAAGAAGATGTCGTTCCAGCGCTGTGCTCGGACAGATAAGGTACATTGCACAGGGCTGCTCACACAACGGGCTCTGCCCCTCCAGTGCTGTCAAAGCGTTGTTCAGCATGAGATCCAATAGCAAGTCTACCTGTGGTGAAGTGTTTGAAACTCCTCCCTTCATCCCCTGCTAAACTTGAGTACAAAGCAAGCATGTAGAAGCTGTGGGGTATTGGTTAGATGGCGTGTGTGAAGCTGGCGCTTTGTACTTAAGCCGTGTGTTCGCCTTTCCCTCCCATTCACCTGTTCCAGCTTCCCAGCCTGACGCTGCTCCTCTCTGCTGCTGCTGCCTGCTTGATGCGGAGCTCAGAAACTGAACTGCATCTCACTTTGTTTTTTAACCCGCCACATCAAGGTGCTGAATCTGGAGCGGGGTTCACGGCTGGCTTATGTACAAGTCAGCTTTGCTGCTGGTGCTTAACAGCAGGCAAATATAGCGGGATGTGTCCTGAAGGGGAGTGCAGCGTTCTGCTATGTAAGATTGCTGAAGTGCTCGACGGCTGTGCAGCACCAGGTGGCCTTCCAGGAGCATTCCGATTCGGGTTTCTGCCTTTGCCTCACTTCAGCCTGAAATGACCAGTGAGGAAAAAAGGAATAAATTCGTTCTTCAGCTCTTTCAGTTCTGCACGTGCTGCCGAGGTGCATAACTGTCCGTGTTTTATGATTTTTGTAGGGTGTGTCTGCAGCTGGACAGATTGTGTCGCTAAAGGTCAGGCTAATAGATGACATCTTAGAAAAGATCAATAACCATCTTCCTTCTCATATCAGAATTCTGGGTAAGGATACTGGAACGGGCAGAGAAAATCTTGACAAAGAGGAGCTTCTCCTGCGCAAAGTCTCTCCCTTTTTGTTGTAATTTTACTCAAAAGGGGTTTAGTTTTAACAAGCACCTGTGCGCTTACGCTGGTTTGAAATCGGCGTCCTATAAAATAAATTATATCTTTTGATTGCATTTTATTTAAGAAAGAACACGTCTGCTGATGTACATGAAGTCACAAGCAGGTTTGCAGCTTACTGATTCAAAAACTTGATGTCGCTTTTTAAATAAGGGCTGAAGAGAGTCACTGGGGGATTCAACTCCAAGAACAAATGCGATGCCAGAACCTACGCCTACATGCTGCCGACGTTTGCCTTTGCCCATAAAGACCACGATGTGCAGGAAGAGGCCTATCGACTCAGCAGAGAGACCCTTGAAAAGGTCAACAGCCTGCTTGCTTGCTATAAAGGAACACACAACTTCCACAACTTCACTTCTCAGAAGGGACCCAAGGACCCCAGCGCCAGGAGATACATCATGGAGATGTACTGCGGGGAGCCCTTCGTGCGGGACAACATAGAATTCGCAGTGATCAAAGTGAAAGGGCAGAGCTTCATGATGCACCAGATCAGGAAAATGATCGGACTGGTGATAGCTATTGTGAAAGGTTATGCTCCTGAGTCTGTTATAGAGCGCAGCTGGGGAGAGGAGAAAGTGGATGTGCCCAAAGCTCCGGGGCTTGGCCTGGTCTTGGAAAGAGTGCACTTTGAGAAATACAACAGACGATTTGGGAACGATGGGCTGCACGAGCCGCTGGAGTGGAAGGAGGAGGAGGAGAAGATTGCTGTTTTCAAAGAGCAGTATATCTATCCTACCATTATTAACACAGAAAGGGAGGAGAAGTCCATGATGAGCTGGCTGAGCACCCTCTCCATTCATGACTTCAACTCTTCTGCTGCTGAGATGGAAGCCAACAAGAAAAATTCAAAGGTAATGATTGAAGCCGTTATTTTTACAAAGGGAAGCTGTTAAGTTAAAAAGGCTTTTCCTGTAAGAACATTTTTGTTTTCCACCTATACTATGGAAGATGACAGTCATCTGGAGTATAAAATGTATTCTGTCACTTCACTTTTTGTCTTTTGATGATGGTGGAACAGATGATACAAAGTGTTCCTTAAGCAGGGTTTTGCGTGGGGTGGTTGAGAAGGGGAAAGGGAGCAGTGCTGCAAAACACAGGCTGGTTTGGCTGCGGTCATACACCAGCAACAGAAGTTGTGGAAACAGCACCAGCTTTTGCTTTTGGGAAGCTGTTTGAAAGACTAGTTTTGGGGTTGCAGTTTCCTAGTGGCTCAGTGCATTTCCTTGTTTTCAGGCTAATTCCCATTTTACGTAACGCTGTGGTCATGAGAAAAACTTTGTGATTGGGAGAAAATTAGGAGCTGCTGAAGTAAATCTGCTGTGTGCTCAGAATGGGTCATTAGAACAACTGCAGGTGAACTTTTGGTCAGAGGGATGGCAGTTCTTAAAGAGGATGATGGGCTGGGCTGAAGTTTCTGTGCAGTACAACTCTGAACAAAATGTCCATCTTTGCTTAATAGAATCATTAAAGTTAGCTTTACTTTATGTAGCTTAACAGTCGTGCTCTGGAGAACATCAGGTTTAATTCTGTCTGCCATTTTTGAGTATGAGAAATAGTTTAGCATACAAAGCATACAGCCTTGTTGAAAAGCACAAACAAGATACCGAAATGTCTCATTAGCCTTTTTTGGTGCTTATTTTCAGTACCAGCATTTTGTGCTACTTTTAAGTTTCCCACATAGTGCAGGTCGTAATCATGCAGCTACAAATAGAGAAGAGTTCTTCTCTTGCTGAGTGTAGTCCACTGTACAACATTTTCTTCTATCAAAAGTGTCATCTACCATCACAGGAGTTGGTTGCTTTAGATGGATCTAAGCCATGAAGTTGGGATCTTGCCCCGTTTCCTCATCCTCATGGAGGTGTTTAAATTCAGTGTCACATAAATGAAATGCTGACAAACCATTTTCCATTTTACTTTCCAGAGCAGCGATGTTGAAGGCAGTGATGGTTGTGGTGGTGATTCTGACTGAGTCAATGCGTGGTTGCACCTGGTACCCATGCAGCTCACAGCTCTCTGTCTGCAGAAAAGTGGCCTTCCTCATCTGAGAATCCAGTGAAGCAGGGGATTGCGTACCTGCAGAACAAGAAGTTGATGCCCAGGAGAAAATGAGCGGGGCAAAAAAAAATCAACCAAAAAACAGAACAGCAGGAAGAAGATGAGGGGCTGTGCCACTGACTGATCCACCTGACTGGGATACTTGAAAATAGCCTGATGAGAAAGCAGCTTTCTAAAGGATTCTTGTGACGCAAGGTGTCTTAATTGCTATTTGAATCATGTTTTTATTACGCGTTTCCCTGGAAATAGTATTTTAAATCTGTGTAATCTCTACGTGAAGATGAGATAAAGCATTTTAATACACTTTTTTGGGATTATTTTTATGAAGTTATGACTCCATGAACTTTTCTTTCCATTTTCTTCACCTTTAATTAGTCTAGTCTCTACTCATCCTGTTAAGCTTTTATTTTTTGTCACTCATGGCTTTCTTGTGAAATAATATGCATGGGACAGAAATTCATTATCATGCTAACTGCTACAAATGTTTGCTATTGAATCAACCTTTTCGTTTTCTCAAGGTTTGCAGGTCTGATCTTTTAGACCTTACCTCGTGATTCCTTGCTCAGTGAGAGATCTTAATTTTGTAACATGTAATTTTGAACCATGTACTTTAAGACAGTGCTTTTTATTTGAAAGGTGTCATCCTCCTGTTGCTGACCTCATGCCTGGGCAGGGTCTAGAATGTAGATCCACAGCTACCTAATGCAGCTGGGCATCCACTGCCTGAGGTGTTGAGATGTAAGGAGAAACACGTTTGTTAATTGCCAGGATTGCAATTCAAAGTGCGCCACCATGAAAGTTTCTGTGTTTGCTGGGGTGATTTTGCTAGATGTGGTGGTGCTGGTTGTAGTATTTCTGCTTTAAAAGGAAACTAACTAACCATCTGCTGGATTTGGGGTTGAATCAGCTTTGCATGTATGAATGGTGCTGACTTGGGCTTAATCAAGCCTGCGTTTGATTTGTATGTGTGAATTCTTAATTTCTGTCAAACTGCTAAGGATAGAGGAGGATGTGCAGTGGTATGGGGAGCACGTGCTAAGGGCTTTCTCTGGGAATCAGTTTTTATTTTTTGTGTTTTGGGAATCTCTATACTCCGGAAATCTTCCTCTCCTTTCCCCAGCTGCAGTTTGAGTCCTGTTTCTTGCTGCCAGCTCTCTCTGAAGGTGATGGAAGGAAAAGAAAAAAGCAAAAATAAACACACACACACACACAAAAAGAAAACAGTCAGTAAAGGCAGTAGCTCTCCTGCCCTCCATAACAGTAGGATCCTTTGGAAAGGGGTGGAACCAGGCTCTGAGTGTTGGGAGTTGAGTATATGTGCTCAGCAATCTTCCCTGGCTGGGTTTGTGTGGCAGCTTCTTCGTGCTCTGAAAGCTCACGTGGGACAAATCCAGGGCTGCAAGGGCTGTGGTCTTTGGTTTGATTCCACCTTGGACACAGACTGGATGTGCATGAGGAGGAGCATCAGAACTCACGGTCCGTACTGAACGTGGAGTTACTTTTTAGAGATGGCTCTGTGCTCCTCCACGCAGTGCTTACTGATGTTACAGTTCCTTGTTGTTCTGGGCCAGAGCTGCCCTCGGCAAGGATTGCCTTGTTTCACGTGGGTTTTTATTAGAGCTTTTTATCCTTACGAAGGCCTTTCTCTGTTTTATCATGGCAAACTGAGTGTTCTGAGGGACTGTGCCCAGGTTTTCTGTTACATCCTTTGCTAACTCATCCTGTGGACATAGCCTGTATTAAATCTTTTATCCAGAGCTTTTTGTCTCCTTCAATCTAAGACAAATACCTTTTTTTTCTTATAACGAAGGCACCAAAACGGACACAAGTCAAAATCATCAGGAATTTGTTTATTGTCTCTGGAGAAAATACAGAAAGGTTATTTCTTAACTCCTGCAGGTGTGTTTTTTTTTAATTTGCTGGTCTCGGTGTGCCTTCTGCAGCAAGAAGGCCGTGATTTGAGGGAAAACTGCCGTTCTTTCCCGCTACCGCCGCTCCTGGAGTTGGAAATCGGAGCGTGGCCGCTCAGCCCGCAGCCTCCATTGGAGCTGAAGTTCTCGCGCATGCGCCATGATGGCGCGCCGCCTCCCTTGGGACCGTCGGGCGCGGAGTGCCGCCACGGGCGCTGCCACCAGGGGGCGCTGCAGTCCCGCCTGGCGCTATGCCGGCCGAGCCCTGCCGTGAGCTGCGAGGCGCTTTGAGGCGGCAGAAGGGGATCCTCGCCTCGGGCCGCGGGAGGGACGATGTAGGAGTTATCGTTTGGTTTGATGCCAGTTTGGAGGAAAAAAGAAAATGCCAGAGGCTGTAAAGTAACACTGATTCGCCTATTCCGTGTTTTAACGATTTGTGGCAAAGTGTTCGCTCTCAAATGCAAGTTTTTTTAGCGTTGTAATTAAAGGTAATTGCTTTAGCGAGGTCTTGTGCAATTGTAAGAATCGGGTACCAAGGAGAACAAGCTTTCAAAGCCCAGCGGAGCACCACGGCTGGGCACAGAGGAGGTCCCTCAGCCCACAACGGGCGCTGCTGCACGGAGGCTCTCTGTGCTGCACTGAGACTGCAGGCGATGGCACTTCTTCCCCAGCCTGAGCAGGAAGGAGTGAACAGTTTCACCAAGCACTGGTAATCTGCTTCAGAGAGCTGCTGAGTGGAACAGCCGGTCGTAAATCTTCCTTTGCAGTGAAAATTTGTGTTCGGTTACACTCAGAATGCCTCGTAGCAGCTGCAGCTTTCCTGTGCCTTTAGAGATGCAGAAATGCTGTATAAATTTCTCTTCAAGGAAGAAAAGGAACGAGAAGGAATGAGGCAGATCCTCTTGGGAAGCAGAATTTGTTTTCCTAATGGCAGTCTAGAAGGAGATTTAATTAAACAGAATCAATTATTTTAGCGTTTTATGTAACATATTTAGGTTAAAGGTAGAAAGATCACAGTGGGAATTTGTGCTGCTTGTGCTCACCAGAAGCTGCAGAACGTTTACAGGCGGTAATAACAGGGCCGTGCTAAATGCATGCAGTTTTTTAGGTAACGGATATGAGCTTTTGTGCGACCTTTTCAGGGAATTCTGTCCATCTGCCATTTCTCAGGGCATCTCAATTTTGTGAAAATTCTCAATGAACTTCTCGTCGATCTCAACATCTCCAAGGACTTTTGTTCATTCCCATTGCTTGTTACGTCACACTTCTTACAGCATCTCTTGGTTCTGTACTGTGCAGTAATTTCCCTGAAGGAAAATGAAATTTTGCAGTGAGCAACAGCAGAGAAAAGGCTTGTGGTCTCCAAAATGTCTGCCCAGCTTCCAGGAGGCCCCAGATACGGACATCTTCAAGATGCACAGAGGAACCCCCGTCTCTTCTTCGTCTCCAAACTCTCCGTAGCTGTAGCTCTGTAATCGCTATTTCTCTAACATTTAAGTCCAGATGTGTTTATGAGGAGAACGCAGGAGCCCAGCCCTGCCTTGCGGCGCTGCTCTGACACCGGTTCTGCCAGCCCAGCTGTTATTGCGGTGGCAGACATCACGGACCCCCCCAACTATCACCGACCCTCCCTGGACGCACGGCTCCTCGCCCGGCCTTCACCGCAGCTCCCGCGATCCCACGCCGCGCATGCGCGAACATCGGCGCAGGCCCGGACCGCCCTCCGGCGGCGGCGCATGCGCAGCGAGCGGAGCGCGGCGCAGGAGGCGCGGTTTGTCTCCTGCCGGCGCTGGTAGCGGCTGCCGCTCCGGCCGCCCCCCGCCCCCGCTTCCTCTGAGGAGCGAATGGAAAGTCCGGCCCCGGCGCCTTCGGTAAGTGAGGCCCGCCGGGATCGGGGGGCGGCCGGGCACCCTTCTTCCCTCCTTCTCTCCCCTTCCTCCCCCTTCCTCCGGTCCCGCGGGCCTAGGGCCCGAAGCTCGGCGGTCCGGTCCCGTCGGCGGGGGCGGCCGCGGAGGAACGGGCCTTCCGCGCGGGGCGGGGCGGGGCGGCCGGGACGGGCCGCGGCCTGTGGGAGGACCGCACCGAACTGTGTCCGGCCCGCCCCGGTTCCGCACACAAAAGGCGCTCCTCGCTCTCGGCAGCGCGCTTCCTATCGGCGCGTAGTTAATTGGGTGCTTTCGCTCGGCCGCGAGCGTGACCGAGGTATAATAATCAACATAATAGGGCCTTGTTACTGGCGACAGGCGATATCGCTTGGATCTTAATTGCTCGGTGTCGGAGTTACGAAAGAGTCGCGGTGCCGCTCTCGCTGTGCAGCCTTCGGGTGGAGGTGGCGCGGGGAGCCGAGCTGCCGTGCGGGGAGCCGAGCTGCCGTGCGGGGAGCCGAGCTGCCGTGCGGGGAGCCGAGCTGCCGTGCGGGGAGCCGAGCTGCCGTGCGGGGAGCCGAGCTGCCGTGCGGGGAGCCGAGCTGCCGTGCGGGGAGCCGAGCTGCCGTGCGGGGAGCCGAGCTGCCGTGCGGGGAGCCGAGCTGCCGTGCGGGGAGCCGTGCCGAGCACCGTGCTGCCGTGCGCGGCTGCTCCCAGGCTGGGCTCGGGGAAGGTAGCGGCTGTTTGCGCTGAGAGCTGCTCTCTTTTCCTCGGGCTGCTGCACGAGTCCCAGCGCAGCGCAAGCTCTCGATGCTGTCAGCGGAGTTTTGTTTTGGTCGGTGGTTGCAAATGAAAATCAAAGCGTTTTTGGGTGTCTGGATACCTCGGCTCGATAAGTAGTGCTTTCAATGAGATGCTGTTTGCGTTGGTTTTCATCTCGTTACGGGGTTGGTCTTCTGAAGGAAGAGGAAGGCAGAGGAAGGTACCGGGCACTCTGCTCGAGTTTATTTGATGGGGAGATTTTTCACGACGCGTTTTTTCTTCAAGAGCACTATCAGTAGTCACCCAATGTATGTCCACATTTGATGTGTTTCCAGTTAGCATTGACTGAACCTGCCTTATGTTCTAAGTGTACTGCGTTCTGAAGAAGCCAGTACTGAATGTTGTGAGCACTGAAGTGCTAGGGATAACAAATGTAGAAGGGCAGGTCCTTGGGACAATGGAGACCATTCGTTCTTGAAGCTATGAAGAAAATAAAGAATACGTACTTTTTATTATTTTAAGTCAGTTTAGCTAGCTTGGAGGAATGTATAATTTACAAACTATTTGAGAGTACTTTCTTAGTTAGAACAACTAGAGAAGTTAGGGAAACGTATGAGAGATTGAAGTGAGTTTGTGTCAGTATAGTTTTCACATGATCTGACTGAAGTAAAACTGCAAGGACAGGGTAACTGAATTCTTACTGAAAACATGTTCTTTCATGTAGTTACTGAAGAGTTTCAGTTACAAACAATATTTGCCTTACCTGAATTTCTGTTTCTATGTATTTCTTCAGTGTATTCTGTAAAAACAAATCACCATATACTATTGAGAATGCACCATGGTAATGGTCCTCAGAATGCCCAGCGCCAGCTCCAGAGGTCCAGGTCCTTCACGGGCAGTGAGGGAGAAGAGCAACAAGCAAATCTACCCCAGTCCCCTGCAGCTTCTTTCGCACCTTCTGCAAGTCCATCTGCACCCCAGTCCCCCAGCTATCAAATTCAGCAGTTTATAATGAGTAGAAGCCCAGTGGCTGGTCAGAATGTGAACATCACGCTGCAGAACGTCGGGCCGGTGGCTTCGGGAAACCAGCAGATCACACTGACACCACTGCCAATTCCAAACCCGACATCGCCCAGTTTTCAGTTCAGCCCTCAGCAGAGGCGCTTTGAGCATGGATCCCCATCGTATATCCAGGTCACGTCACCGCTGCCCCAGCAGGTTCAGTCTCAGAGCCCCACGCAGCCCAGCCCCGTGCCGGTGCAGACGTTACCGAACGTTCGGGCAGGTACGCCGGGCCCCGGCTTGGGAATGTGCAGCCAGAGCCCTACCAGAGGATTTGTGGACGCCAGCGTGCTTGTGAGGCAAATCAGCTTGAGTCCTTCGAATGGTGGGCACTTTGTGTATCAAGAAGGGCCGGGAATCGCACAGATTGCTCAAGGAGCTGCAGCGCAGGTGCAACTCCCATCTTCTGGGACGCCTGCTACAGTAAGGGAGCGCCGACTTTCACAACCTCATTCACAGTCCGGTGGCACCATTCATCATCTTGGTCCTCAAAGTCCTGTAGCTAGCGGGGCAAACATGCAATCCTTGACTAGCCCGGGCCATATCACAACAACGAGCTTGCCACCCCAGATCAGCAATATTATCCAAGGGCAACTTATGCAACAGCAGCAACAAGTGCTTCAAGGACAGCAGCTGAGCAGACCCATTGGCTACGACAGGGCTTCTGGGGGATTAATAGCTGGAGTTGGAGGCCCTGGTGGGTTTGGAATGACATCACCACCGCCTCCCACGAGTCCTTCACGGGCCACGGTGCCACAGGGGCTGTCAAGTCTTCCTCTTACGCCTACGGTTAACACGGCAGTGAAAAAACAACCCAAAAAACTGGAGGAGATACCTCCTGCCAACCAAGAGACTGCCCAAATGAGAAAGCAGTGTTTGGATCACCACCACAAGCAGATGGAAATTCTTAAGGAAACTTTTAAGGAATGTTTGATTGAACTGTTTTTCCTGCAACATCTTCAAGGGAATATGATGGACTTTTTAGCTTTCAAGAAGAAACATTGTGTTCCCCTGCAAGCCTACCTGAGGCAAAATGACTTGGATCTAGAGGAAGAAGAAGAGGAAGAACAATCTGAGGTCATCAATGATGAGGTAAGGATCTGTTAATATTTTGGGTTTAAATAGTGGGTGAAGTTGTGGCACCTGAATTGCAAAGCATTAGCTAGTGTGATGATACCTGAAAACTCGTTTTTATTGATGAAATAGAGCAGTTATATAAAAAGGTTTGAGAGAATGCCATTCTGCTTGGTGGTGTGATGGGACAAGTTGGTTTGAGCACGCCGTCTGCTGCAAAAGCAAAGTAAGCAAAGTACAGAGAGCTGAAAGCAACTTTCACTGTCCCAGTCAGTATGTAAGCCTGCACACAAACGTAGGTGGCTTTACTATGGAAGCTGTTCTAAGCTTTCAGAATGAACGCATCGTAGATTAAATTTCACATTCTAGACTTATAAAAACCAAAAAAGAGTAAGCAAAAAGTCTCTTTATTTGGTTCTTAGTGTTGCTGTGGCCAGCGAAAAACCCTGGAGTAATCTAATTATAATGTGCATGGGTTCATAGTAATGAATTAATTTATTTGGAGCGTCTTATTGCTTTGTGCCTGCATTGCGGTCTGAGTGATAAAACCCAACTTGTACTTGGACATTAACTTTGTTATTTTGTGCAAAGATTTGAAACAACTAAAGAATTTGGATGCGCTGTTTGTTTACTACTGGCAAATGACTTGCAATAAGCTTGCTGCTAAGAGTTGCCCTCTTTGCAGAGCAACTTTTCCTGCATGTTTACTCCTACTTGTGTAGATCATGACCTGCAGCACAGGGCACCTCTGGGTGCTGAGCAATGCCTGTCTGGCCAATTACATGACAAGTGGCTGCAACAGTGTTGCTGTAACTGATGGCACTGTGCAGATAAATACCTTCAGAAATGTGCAGAAGTAAATATGGACATAAATATGCCAGTTTGTAAAAAGATGAAGCAAAACCAGTTACGTAAAATTGGTATTGCTTTGAAATATCTATTAGAAATCAAAGTATTCAGGGAACGTTGGTGCTTTTATGTGATTGCATCTCCTGCTGGAATTTGGGCAGAATTTTAATGTTATAGTAGAGAAAGTTCACTGTTTTGTAGTTAAGTTTCTTGACTAGGAAACCATTTCTTTCAATATTCAGTAACCTCAAAGCTATTGACACTGGAATCCAGTGAGTTTTCCCTTGGTTTGCATTTTGTCCAGCTTTTTGGGTGTTCTTGTTCTTCCTTTTAACTACATACGTGAGTTTTGAGAGAACTTGGGTGGCTGTGAATTGTACAAGGTCACTGAAATCGGTGGCACTGCTACAATTTACATCGGTTGAGGCTTCACCCCTCTGTGCTCTTCAGACCCTCTTTTGTCTGTGACGGCCGTTTGTCAGTTTAATGCTGCAGAATGTTGCAGCCTGCGATGGCAAAAGTCTGTGTGCTTTCAAACGACGAATCCTTTTGAGAGTTTAAGACTTCTTTTGAGTATGTTCTTTGTATTTTTTTTTGTCTCCTCTTTTATTTCCCCCTCCCTTTCTTTATCACTTCCTGCTCAAGCAAAGCGCTTCATCCCTTGCCTGGAAGGGCGATCGCTGGCGGCTCCAGGCAGAGCGAATGGTGGCTGTGCTCATCGCTTGAATAAATGTTGGAGCTCTCTTCAGTTCAAACTGTCTGTCACGCTGATTTGTTGTCTGTTAGGAGCAGCAGTCATTAAATTTAAACCACGCTTTTATGTAAACTGGATTTACAGAAGGTTTGCAGCGGTGGGAAGCTGCTGTAGATAGTGAAGGCTGGCTCTGCTCTTTGCAGTGAGGCAGAGCTCGTCCCAAGCCACGCTGCTGGCTGCCTGGCTGTCAGCTCCTCTTCAGTGAGGGGCCGTCTGCACTGCTGGCGTGTTGGGCAGCCAATAAAAAACAACAGCA